GTCACATAATGTCACCTCTGTTGTGGTCACAGAGGAGTGTCACCGTTACATAGTAGGAAGAGCATGTGGGTGGAAGATTTTGTGATGGTTGTTTTTAGAAAATATCATCTGCCACAGGGGGTTGATATGGAAACACATCAGGATTCTTGAGGGACCCCTCAAGGATCTCCTGATTAGAGGCAGGTGTGGCTGACTCCAAGGTCAAACCTCAGGCATGGACTCATGGCCAGGAGTTTGAATTCCAGCCACTCAGGGGCTGCCTGGGTGAAATCACTCAATCCTTTGGGCCTCGCTTTCCTTCTCTGTAAAACAGGATAGATTTAGTATTTACTTTCTGGGATGGTTGTGAGAATTCAATGAGGCAGAATTCAGTGAGACTATAATGTGCCAGGCAAGTGTTGACACCAGTGCTAGTGTGTCATTGCTATTTTTTTAAGTTCTGGGGTTGTGGTCACTCTGATGCAGGGATGGTCCCTTTCTATGATCAGGATACCCAGACCTGTCCAGTCCCCACAGACACCTCCCTCAGCTCTGACTCTGTGCTGGAGTATATGTGTGTGTGGGGGGGGGCATGTGGAGGACTAAGGGTCCCATGAGGACCACTGATGCCTCTGGCCTCAGGCTCCTAACCCGGGGGACCCCAGTTGGCCTTTGTTCCCTGGGGAAAGCTCCTTGGCTGTTACCTCCTTCCCAGGGCAAAGGTCTCTTTCTGGGCAGCTAGGGCAGCGTTGGGGTGTGTGTGGGATGAGCCACCAGGTGTGGCTTCCAAGGGCCAAGGGGAGGGTGCTTCACTTGGGTGATTGGGAGGCAGGGCGAAGACCAGCAGTCCCTAGAACTTCCTGAGCCTTGCCCGGGATGGGATGATCTTTACCAAACCAGCCACTGAACAGTCTTTCCTGGAAGCTCTGGATGTGCCCGGAGCGCATGTCCTACTCTAGCGGGGGCCACAGGTCCTCAGGCCTAGCCTTGACCATGAAGGGTAGGGTTGGGGGCAGATGCAGAGCCCAGGATGGGTGCACCAGGCCCTCCTGTCTTACTGAGGGCCCCTCTCTCTCCAGGTAACACACAGACCCACAGGCCAGTTAACTCTCCAGTCCAAGACCACCTCAAGGTCACGCCTTCCTTTTGCTCCAGAGTTAGAGTCTGAGCCCCACTGAATACTCACTGTGTGACCTTGGGCAAGTCATGTTCTCTCTCTGTGTCTCTGTTTCCTCATTTGTAAAGTAGAGAAGATTGTTGCTGTGATTGTTGGGCCTAGAGTACATCACAGATGGTGATGCTCTTTGGAAATAACCAGGCAGGGCAGGTGGCTGAGGATCCAGAACTCTCCCCAAGGGAGCGTAGAAATGAGCCATAAGGTCATCTTTGCAGCTGCAGAACGTAGGTCCTCGTGTTATTTCGCTCATCTCCTTACTATACAGATGAGAAAACTGGGGTAGCACCTGCGGGTGTCACAGGGAGTCACAGAGACCTGGGTTTGATTCCTGGTGCTACCAGTTACCAGCTTTGTACCTTTGGGAAAGTTAAGAAAATCTCTGGATGTAGTGTCCTTATCTGCGGAGGGAAGGCCATGGGATCCTCTGGACAAAATTAAGGGTTACAAAAGTGCAGGGCTTGCCTAGCCTCTCCAAGAGATGGCATAGGCCAGACCAGGGAGTCTCCACTGCGGCCGCACACTACAATCACTCAGGGAGTTTTGTTTTTGTTTGTTTTTTGAGATGGAGTTTTGCTCTTGTTACCCAGACTGGAGTGCAATGGCACAATCTCAGCTCACTGCAGCCTCTGCTTGAACCCGAGTTCAAGCGATTCTCCTGCCTCAGCCTCCCGAGTAGCTGAGATTACAGGCACCTGCCACCACAATCAGCTAATTTTTTTATATTTTTAGTACCGACAGGGTTTCGCCATGTTGGTCAGGCTGGTCTTGAACTCCTGACCTCATGATCCGCCCGCCTCGGCTTCCGAAAGTGCTGGGATTACAAGCGTGAGCCACCGCACCCGGCCAGGGAGCTTTCTAAATACTCTTTTTTTCCCCCCAAAGACAGGGTCTCACTCTGTCCTTCAGGCTCGAGTGCAGTGGCATGATCTTGGCCCACTGCAGCCTCCACTTCCCGGGTTTGAGTGATCCTCCCACCTCAGCACCCCACCCCCCTCCCCATGCCCCGAGTAGCTGGGACTACAGGTGCATACCAGCACACCCAGCTAATTTTTGTGTGTTTTTTGTGGACAAGTTTTCACCATTTTGCCCAGGCTGGTCTCAAACTCCTGAGCTCAAGTGATCCTCCTGCCTCAGCCTCCCAAAGTGCTGGGATTATAGGTGTGAGCCACTGCATTCAGCCCAAATAGTCCTTTGAAAACTAGTGATTTTTTTAAAGCTCCCAGGTGATTTAAATGTGCAATCAGGGTTGCAATACACTGGTCTACAGTCATGCTAAGTTAGTATGGCCCAGCAACATGGCCATCACTTCGGGGCTTCTTAGAAATGCAGAATCCCAGGCCCTGCCCCAGACTTGCTGAACGAGAATCTGCATGGTGACAAGATCCTGATACCCTTGCAGTTTCTGTAACTGCAGTTTTACAGCTTGGGAGCTACTGGCTGGACAGGTGTGTGTGTTTAGGGCAAGGATAGAGGAGGCAATCTGGCAGTACTTGAGGCATGTGAAAGAGGCGAAGGGAGAGTCTGTGACTCCCATCAGAAAGATGGACAGACATTTGGCCGCGCGCGGTGGCTCAAGCCTGTAATCTCAGCACTTTGGGAGGCCAAGGCAGGTGAATCATGAGGTCAGGAGATCAAGACCATTCTGGCTAACACGGTGAAACCCTGTCTCTACTAAAAATACAAAAAATTAACTGAGTGTAGTGGCACTCACCTGTAGTCTCAGCTACTCAGGAGGCTGAGGCAGGAGAATTGCTTGAACCTGGGAGGCAGAGATTGTAATGAGCCCAAATCTCGCCACTGCACTCCCGGCCTGGGTGACAGAGCGAGACTCCATCTCAAAAAAAGAAAAAGTCAAGGCCTCCAAGCAGGCATGTGGCAAGAGAGGAAGTTGCTTAATAAAATGAACAAGGTGATTTCACACCAACTTGATGGAGGCCCAGCCAGCCCTGCAGTGCCGACAATACTGTGGCTGATTTCAGGGAAGCCGCTGAAAGTTTCTTGGAGTGTAGAATTTGAGCAGACATGAAGGGGGAAAAAGGAGAAGAGAGAAGTAAAATGGCTAAGCAAATGAAAATCGTGTCCTTGAGCTCCGGGGTCCCCTGTCCCCCATGGCCAGGTGCCACTGGTTGGTACCCTCTGCTCCTTCCTCAGCCTCAACTCCCCTGCCAAACCATTTCCAGGCTTTGAGGGACTCGTCCTTCATTCTTGGACTAGGAGAGGAGGCAATGCAAACCCTCTGGTGTGAAGGTGACCTTGGGCACACTGAAGGCCAAGGTCAACTTGGCATCAAGTCTCAGGAAGGGGAGATAGAATTTTGGGCCCAGGGTTGCCTGGTAAACTTCTGGCATTCTCTTCCTGACTACTTTCTCCCCCATGACCAGGCCGATGGGCCCATTTGGTGCTAGGTGTGCCCTGACCCTGGACCAGTAAGAGTGGCCCTGTGTGACGTGCACGTGCTTGGCACTCAGCCGGAGGACTTTCTCCTTGTGCTTGGCATGGGGCCGGGAACAACCTGGAGGGCTGCAAAGGTCAAGGCCAACCCATCCAGGTGAGCCAGCCCACTGGTAGGCTGGGACATCCCAAGCTACCAGGCCAGGTGGGAACAGGCTCTAGCATCACCTAATTTCCTTCTGAGTCCTCTGGTGAAGGAAGTTGTCTCAGGAATCGCCAGTGGGCTAGCCTGCCCTCCAGTGGTGCTCAGCTGCAACTGCACCCTCCAGACCTGGTTTTTCACAAGGGGTGGGAGGCTCCCCGTAAGATCAACTTGTTATACCTACAGAAGGGAGAGAATGCTGATCTGTCATTTTGGGCATCTCTTCACCTCATATGAGCTATAAAGAGAGGAGAACTCTCTTTTTAAAGCATTCAGCTATAAAAAGAGAGGAGAGCTAGGATGTAACAAGTACTTCTTTTTTTTTCCAGGAACTTTGCTCATCTTGCTCTCCTGACCTCTCCAACAGTCTGTGTGTGTGTGTGTGTGTGTGTGTGCGCGTGCACGCGTGTGGTGTGTGTGTGATATGTGTGTGTGGTATGTGTGGTGTGTGTGTGTGATGTGTGTGTGTGTGGTGTGTGGTGTGTGTGTGGTGTGTGTGTGGTGTATGTGGTGTGTGTGTGTGTGTGGTGTGCGTGTGTGGTGTGTGTGCATGTGTGGTGTGCGTGTGGTGTGTGTGTGGTGTGTGCATGTGGTGTGTGTGTGCATGTGATGTGTGTATGTGTGGTGTGTGTGTGTGTTGTGGGGTGGCTACTAACCCGCATACCTCAAAGACAAGTAGCAAAGGGTCAAGTCGCATTCTATTCCATGCCTGTCTGACTTCCCAAGCCACGTTCCTCTGGTACAACATACCCGTGCAAACTCTCTAGGTCAGGGTCAGGGAGCAGCAGAAAGTGGGGGCAGGTGGGGTGTCAAGACAATGGGGAGTGGTGGGGACTGCAGCAAGCTGAGGGATGTGAGCACAGCTGAAAGGCAGAGTCATGCGATGCTTTAGTGGGAGTGCTGGATTAGCACTTCAAAGCAACCAGAATCGGAATTTTTATGTAAAGTTCCCAATTTTAAATAGACAGTGAATTCAGAAAGTAGTTTCAATGTTATGCAAGTCAAACAAAAAATGTTTTCTAACATGCTGAGCTTCTATAACGCCCTCACGTTGCAGGTGAGGGCTGGAGAGAGGAGGAAACTTGCCCATTACCACGTGACTAGAGACAAGGTCTGAGCTGGGAACCCCTGTCTCCAGACTCCCAGGCCAGTGCTCCCTCAGCACACCTCTCTGTTGTCTGAGACCCCAGGGCAGGGGGTGAACCACTTCTGACTTAGTGGGGTAGCAGGAAACATCGGACTCAGGCTACAGTGGAAGACCATCACGTTTATTGATCAAACTTGGCTTTGAGTGTGACAGAGCCATTCTTGGTTCTTCTCGGAAGTAACAAAAACACTGTGTAACATGTGGAGTGCCTGCTCACCTGAATCACACCAAGGTAGCAGCTGGAGCCAGTAGCCTAGCCTATGGTCTTGGCAGTGGACCCCACCCAGTACCATTAGACCTGGCTTTGTCCCGTACACAGGACAGACTGGGCTTGTCCACTCCCAAGGCCAGGCTGGCCCTACCTCCACCTGGGCCCCAACTCCTTGGAAGTTGGTATGTAAGTAAGGGAGGGGTCAAGTTTACAGATGGGTAGACTGAGGATTGAGGCAGGAGGGGACTTTATGGCTGAGTCCCGGCTTGTCCCAGAGCCCTGGCCCTTGGGTCCCTGGACTGGTCAGTGCATGGACACTCTCCCCTCCCAGCTCGGGTGGAAGACTTTTCCTGGCTTAGCTGCTCCATACATGCAATCTATAAATATGTATTTGCTTTAAAAATTAATAAATTAGATCTTGGGCCAGCCTGAGGTCATTTGGCCAGCCATGAGTCCTGTGACATGGACATTTGTCATGTGTCATATGTGGACCAACAATCATGTATCCTGCCACGTGGGATGCCAGGACCCATGCCATTGTGTCACACTGTCAGTTTCATGTCATGCCACATGTCAAGGGGTCACACTGCCGCATCTAACCTGATGTGTCACGCATTGTCATGACACCCTCACTGTGTGCCACGTGTCCCCTATGATCACACATCACACGTAATGCAGGGAACTCCTTTGGCCAGACCTGGCTCCTGGTTCCCAAAAAAGTTCTCCCTGAGGACTGCAGCAGGACACGCGCGTCCTTCCTCCTGGGTGGAGGGCAAAGCACCTGCCGAGGCTCTTTTTTCCTGAGTCATTTATCCCAGTGGGCAAAGGGTGGATCGCTTGGGAGCATCACTTGGCTGGATTCCAAAGGTCTTGAGGGGGCCATCAGGTACCCCAAGGGGCCTGGGGCTGGTTGTCAAAGAAGGCAAAGTCCAGCCTGGGCTCCTGGCTCTGCAGGCACTGGGCCATGTTGCAGGGAATGTGGTTATTCCAGAGGCTGCAGGGCACAGAGACAGGCACTGATTCATCCTCCCGCCTCTGCCCTCTGTCCCATCTGTAGATTGGGAAGCTGAGGCCCCGAAAGGTAGAACTGTGCCCAGAGTTACCTGGCAGAGGAAGGTGTTAGACCAGCATGGGCTGACCTAGGGAGAGGGTATCCCCCACAGCTGCCTCCTGAGTTCCCCAACTCAGCCTTCCTCCCTGGGAGGTAGTGATGCCAGCTAAGGCCACACTCACAGGACACATTTGTGCAAATAAGGAAAAGGCCCTCTTTCTTCAAGATGTTTTACTGCCATCTGTCTGAAATTGTCATAATATACTGATTTTGGTCGAACAAGGTGCTTTGCTCTCATTTGCTAGAAATCTAGCAGGTTGATGACGTGAATGGTGCCCCTTAGGTACAATGGCCTTGTGCAGTGCACAACCTATACAACTGTATGTGAGGGCTCTGATTATAGGTACCATTTTAAGTGCTTACTATATGCCAGGCATTGGGTTCAGTGCTTTATATGCTCATGTAGTCCTTACAACTCTCTGAGGTAGATACTATCAGTATCCTCATTTCATAGACGAGAAAACTGGGGTTCAGAGAGGTTGAATTACTGCCACAAAGTTACACAGATGGCAAGTGGCAGAGCTGGGATTTGATCCAAGTCCACTTGTTGCCAAACTCTTGGTGGAGGGGTCCAAGTCTCTTTTGATAATCCCCAACCCAGGCCCTGCCGCCTCCTCCAGGAATCCCATTACATCTAGGGATTGGTATGGCCTCCCGCCCACCATCCCTGCCCCTGCAGGCTTCTGTTACCGGATGACTTGGACGCTAGACCCCTGGGCCAGCCCTTCAGCCAGAAGCCATGCCCCGCGAGCTGTGATCTGATTCTTCTCCAGGCTTCCCAGTGGACAGTGAGGGGAGGGGAAGAGAAACAGCCATGAGAATGGTGTGAGGGTTTCCTAGGCCCCCTCCCCGGGCCAAGGTCAGGGATACACAGTCTCCCACACTACCTTCTCAGAGAACCCAAAAGACAACAGGGGATTTGGGGTGGGTACAGCAGGAGGGCTGGAGGCTAGAACCCAGGGGAAACTAAGCCTGGCAGGGGCTTGCAACAGATCAGAGTGTGCAACTCAAGGAAGGCCTTTCTGGGAGGCAGAGGACTGACCCAGCGGCTTCTTAGTGTTCCCGGGATGTAGGTCCCCCTTCAGCCCACCCCATTCCTCCCCTGGCCCCTCATACTCCACTCTCTTCAGCCGGCCCATCCGCGGCAGAACCTGGGCCAGCTCCGCAGCTGCCTCATCCCCTAGGAGATTCCAGGACAGCCTGCAGGGAAGGGGTCCCAAGGTCAGTGGCAGGAGAGCGGGGAGGTTGAAGGGTGGAGATAAGGCAGTGAGTGGGGAGGAGGGGGGGCCAATCCTGGGGATGAGGGTTTGCAAGAGAAGCTTCCTGACAGGGTGCTTGTGTATCCTCCCCTGAAGATGGCAGGGTGCGGGTTACCTTCCTCTCCGCTCCCCTCCCAGTTAAGTTTGGATCATGACGTTGTTCATACGATGTTGCCATTTTTGCCACATACATGCACCTCCTGTATTTATGGTGCATCATATTTTTCTTTAACTTGGTCCCCTCTTTTTTTTTTTTTTTTTTTTTTTTTTTTGAGATAGAGTAATTACTCTGTCTCCCAGGCTGGAGCGCAGTGACGTGATCTCGGCTCACTGCAACCTCTACCTCCCTGGTTCAAGCAATTCCTCTGCCTCAGCCTCTGGAGTAGCTGGGATTATAGGCATGTGCCACCATGCCCAGCTAATTGGGTTTTTTTTTTTTTTTGTATTTTTAGTAGAGATATGTTTTCACCATGTTGGCCAGTCTGGTCTCAAACTCCTGACCTCAGGCAATCCACCTGCCTTGGTCTCCCAAAGTATTGGGATTACAGGTGTGAGCCACCACGCCAGGCCTGCCCCGCTCTTTTTTCTTACTTTAAAAAATTAATCTTGGCTGGGTGCGGTGACTCATGCCTGTAATCCCAGCACTTTGGGAGGCCAAGGTAGGCAGATCACAGGGTCAGGAGTTGGAGATCATCCTGACCGACATGGTGAAACCCTGTCTCTACTAAAAATACAAAAATTAGCTGGGTGTGATGGTGAGCGTTTGTGATCCCTGCTACTCGAGATGCTGAGGCAGGAGAATCGCTTGAACCCAGGAGGCAGAGGTTGCAGTGAGCTGAGATTGCGCCACTATACTCCAGCCTGGGCAACACAGAGAGACTATCAAAAAAAAAAAAAAAAAAAAAAAAAAAACTTAAAAGGAAGCATTTATTACTACTATCAATGGAAAACTTGTGTAACAGACCCCAAATAGAAGGTAGTTACAAAAACAAATATAGTACAAACAATGGTATTAACTTCTAGCTGGAACATATGCCTTCCTAAGATGTTGGGTCTGTGATACGCCCCTATTGGTTAAAAAGGGAGAATCCAGAGTTAGGTGGTAAAGATGAGGCTGGGTGCAAGTGGTTCATGCCTGTAATCCCAGCACTTTGGGAGGCTGAGACGGGCAGATAATGAGGTCAGGAGATCGAGACCATCTGGCCAACATGGTGAAACCCCGTCTCTACTAAAATACAAAAAAATCAGTCGGGCATGGTGGTGCGAACCTGTAGTCCCAGCTGCTCAGGAAGCTGAGGCAGGGGAATTGCTTGAACCTGGGAGGCAGAGATTGCAGTGAGCCAAGATCGCGCCACTATACTCTCTAGCCTGGCAACAGAGTGAGACTTCATCTCAAAAAAAATAATAATAATAAAATAAATAAATAAGAGTTAGCATTGATCTGAGACTTTCTCTTTGGTGTAATGAGAAAGGTCAAGACCTTTAGAATGCAAACTAAAGTCATCTTGTAATCATGCGTGTCCTGTTCTTTTTTTTTTTTTTGAGACGGTGTTTCGCTCTTGTTACCCAGGCTGGAGTGCAATGGCGCGATCTCGGCTCACCGCAACCTCCACCTCCTGGGTTCAGGCAATTCTCCTGTCTCAGCCTCCTGAGTAGCTGGGATTACAGGCACGTGCCACCATGCCCAGCTAATTTTTGTATTTTTAGTAGAGACGGGGTTTCACCATGTTGACCAGGATGGTCTCGATCTCTTGACCTCGTGATCCACCTGCCTCAGCCTCCCAAAGTGCTGGGATTACAGGCTTGAGCCACCGCGCCCGGACTGCGTGTCCTGTTCTTTAGGAAACAGCTTTGTCCTCCACATCATGGTTAGGGTCCCAGGCTGGTCCTAGAATTCTAGTTCACTCATGAGGCAGCACTGCAAGGCCCCAAGGTCTGGGGATTCTGATTGCTAAGAGACAGCCCTGCACAGCCAGCCAGCAGGTCTGGGGGCAGCTTTCTTCTGGCTTAGCCATTGTTCAGCACCAGCAGTGGCTCATCAACGGAGATTTCATCAATCAGGCAAGGTGGTCTATCCAGTTGCCTCCCAAAAGGAAGACTGAACCAAAAACCCTGAGAGACCAGCTGGCCCACCTCCCCTCCCACCACTCACCAAATGGGGTTAAAGGCAGGAGAAGCTAAAGTGTTTTACCCAACATCACCCGCAGCTCCAGTGTTAAAACGTCCTTGAGAGGATGCCTGAGCAAGAATGATCTTCCCCATTTACAAACGGGAGGACAGAGAGGATGGGAGCAGCTCCAGGCCACACAGCAGGCTGGAGCCAGCCCCCCCCCGCCCCCCCCACCCCCACTGTCCCTTTTCCCAGCTCAGCTCAGGGCTCTTCCAATCACTCACAAGATTACTTCCAGGGCAGGGCAGAGTGTGAAGCTGGGGGTGAGGAGCTTGGCTGTCTGGTTGTCAATCTTACAGGAAACCAGGCTGCGGACGGAGACGGGTGAGGGATGGGAGGGGAAGGCGTTTGAGTCAGGGGATCTGGCAGGTCCTGTCTCCCACAGTCAGCACAGGAGGGAGGGTCTGGGATGAGCTAGGAGTTGTAGGAAAGGCTTCCTTTCTTGACCCAGGCCCCCACCATCCCTGGGGCTTCTATCACTTAAAGGCCTCCCCAGATATTAGGCTCAGTCAGAGAAGAGCTGCCTTCAGCCTACCATGGGTCCCCCAGGCAGGCAGGGGATGCTACTTACTCTATCCGTCTGAGCAGTGGGAGCCCCTTACAGAAATGCAGGACCCCTTCGGCCAGGTTATTTTCTGCCAAGCTGCAGGGTAGGGGAGACGTTTGTGAGAGGAACCCCCAGACTGTCGCCCTGGGGGGACAGGACTGTCCCCCTGCGTGGACAGGGTAGCCCCTACTTACCTGATCTCTTCCACATGGGGGGATCCATCCAGGGCCTGGACCAGGCTCAGGGCCCCATTTGGGCCCAGATGGCTGGACGGCAGGCTGGGGAAAGAGGAGGGGGTGAGCCTGCGGGGACTGGGGACCCTTCCGGAGCCCCCCACCCTCAGCCTCGTCTCAGGCTGCAGCACCAGCCTGTAGACAGACTGTGGCTAATTCTCCATCTACATGGGACTTGGGTGGATATCAGGAACCCTGGCTTTGGGGTCTGAGATCTCAAATTCAACATCCAGGGCCTTTGTGTATGAGGAAGGAAAATTTTCCACACCTCTCCTGGCCTTCATTCCCTTGCCTAGAAAAATGAGCACATAAAAGTCTCAGCACTGGCTGGGCATGGTGGCTCACACCTATAATCCCAGCACTTTGGGAGGTTGCGGTGGGTGATCACCTGAGGTCAGGAGTTCGAGACCAGTCTGACCAGCATGATGAAGCCCTGTCTCTACTAAAAATACAAAAATTAGGCGGGCATGGTGGCACATGTTATAATCTCAGCTACTTGAAGCTGAGGCATGAGAATTGCTTGAACCTGGGAGGTAGAGGTTGCAGTGAGCCGAGATTGCACCACTGCACTCTAGCCTGGGTGACAGAGAGAGACGCCATCTCAAAAAATATATATATATAATAAAATAAAGTCCCATCCCCCTGGGGCTGCCAATGAGGCTCTGATGAGGCCATGGACTTGAGCTGAGAAGTGCCGCGGCCATGCTGCTTGGCCCTGTGCTCCCGTAAAGCCTCTGCTAGCATTTCTCATTCAGCCTCAGGGACTGTCTCACAGGGCACACTGAGCTGGGATCGTTGTACTCCTTTTGCACGTGAAGAAACCGAGGCTGAGAAGAGGCTGGGGTCTAGCCAAGGGCAGGCAGGGGCCCATGGCAGAGCCAGGACTAGGCTGGGCCTCCTGATTGCTCTGCTGCAGGCATCAGAGGCAGGGGAGGAACAGGCAGGAAGGTGGGTAGCCAGCCCTTAGACATGCCACAGCTTGACCTGGGGCAGGGCAGCTCAACTGATGGGGGCCTGGACCCCCACTGCTCCCTGGGACCCTCCTCCCCACCAGCCCAGCATGGCGTGGGCAGGGGGCAACTCACTGCAGGACTCTCAGGTGCTGGGGCAGCTCCCGAGCCAGCTCCAGGGCTGTGCGATCCCCCAGGTCATTGCAGCCAAGCCTGGAAAAGGAAAGGAATGAGCATTGAGTGCTGGGCCGGCCCACTCAGGACCCCTGCCCTGCCCTGTGCCCACTGCGGGAGAGGAGGCCAAGTGGGCCTGGGGGGCACAGAGGGCAGAGGCCTCCTGGGCAGACACTCACATCAGCTCCTCCAGGCGCCTGCAAAGAGCAAGAGACTCCGCCAGCTTCACTCCTCCGGCTGGGCTGATGCTATTCACTGAGAGGCTGTGGGAGCGGGGGCAGCCATCAGGTCCTCTGACGCTCCCTCTCCCTGACACCCCAGCACATCTGCTGGGGCTGCCACTCCTGCTTCAGGGGGCCTAAGAGACAACCCTCCCCACACCACACACCTACCCAGACAATGGGGTAGAAAGGCCCAGAGAAGAGCAGGGACTGGGGTGGTTTAAGGTCCCACAGTGAGGGCCAGGAGGTCACCCAGCCCTCATGCCCAGACACTGAGGCTGGCGCAGGGGAGATTTTAGCATGCTGGTCTGAGCTAGGGGCCAGTGTCTCCTAGGACCATGGTGTGACCCCTGTTGCCCTCCTGCGTAGGGCTGGCCACTTACTCTATCTTCCTGAGCTCTGGCAGCCCCGGCAGGATGGTAGCTAAGTACCGGACACCGGCGTCTCCAATCTGGTTGTGGCTCAAGCTTGGGGAAGAGAACACTTCATCAGCCTTCTACCATCTCTTCTTGCCCACACCCCACTCCCAGAACAGAAGGGGAGGCTGAAGTCCCAGGAAGGACCTCAGCTCACACTGAGAGTTGAGTGACAGCTCCTAACTCTTGGCTTCTGTTTAGGATGTTCTCCCTGTTATCCGACCTAAATCCCTCTTGGGGCGATTGACACTCTTACATTCTGTCTTTGGGTCTCCCAAGATTCTAGGCCCTGGGTTGGTCACACAGTGTAGAAGTGGGTGAAGGGGATGAGATGAAGAAGCTAAGGGCGTGCTCCGGTAGCCCCTTGCCTTTGACATCTTTCCCTGCCAAAATTGTCCTGGGTCTGGGGGCAGGATGGGCAACTCACTCCAGCTCCTCCAGGCTGGTGGCAGCTCTGAGAGCCTTAGAAAGGTGGCGGCAATCGACATCACCAATACTGTTCCTGTTCAGTCTGGAAAAGCAGGGAATAGACCAAGAGGCTTTCAGGAGCTTAAAGGCCTTTGCAGGTGCTGTGGTAAGAACTCTACAGTTTGTAAAGCCTTTACACACCCAGGAACTCATATGCTAGTTACAAAACTTCTGGGGATCATGGCAGGTTGCGGGTAGTGAGCAAGGTGGGAATTATTGTCCCCAATGTCCAGGTGAGAAAACTGAGACCCAGCAGTTGAGCTGTGACTGGCCAGAGAGTTAGGGACATACAGGTTGGGTGGAAATGAACCCAGAGCCCCCCGGCCAAGGAGCAGTCTCTAGATCTCTTTGGCAAGCTTCACCTTGGCCTCTGTGTCAGGGGTCTCCAGGCCGGCCTGGCTGAATGCCAATTTCACATGGCGTTCCCTGATTCACCCAAATCAGTTCTTGGGGTGTATCGCTTCTCATCTATGCAAATGATAGGCTTTTCCCTAACCCAGGGTATTGTCTTTGCTGAGCCCTAACCTTGCTATGCCTGGCTGGGAAAAAGCAACAAAACAGCTGAGGCAAATGGTCTCAGCCCCTTGGGAAGTATTTGTCTGCAGGTTGTTTTTACTTTCTTTTATTTTGCAAATTAAATTGTAATGGGACCTGGCATGGTGGCTCACACCTGTAATCCCAGCACTTTGGGAGTCTAGGCAGGCAGATCAGCTGAGGTCAGGGGTTCAAGACCAGCCTGGCCAACATGGTGAAACCTCATCTTTATTTAAAAAAAAAAATACAAAAATTAGCTGGGCGTGGTAGTACATGCCTGTAATCCCAGATACTTGGGTGGCTGGGGCATTAGAAGACAAGAACAGTGGGCACTCACCTAGGAGGGCAAAGGGATGGGCCTGGGAGGGAGCCACAAAGGATCCTCAGGGAGGTGCCCTCAGCGCTCCCCCGATGTGTTCCCAACTGAGTGGGAAGTTTGTCCTCCGACTCATTCCCATGGGGCCACTGGGTCACTCACCGGAGGCTCTGCAGGAGGGTCATGTGGCTTAGTCCGCGAGTAAGCAAGGCCAAGGTGGAGCCATTTAGCAGAAGGTGACTGAGGCTGGAGAAGAGGAGGTCAGGTGAACTTGGCATCCAGGGGTGGAGCACCGTCTAGTCCGGGGGTCTGAGGCCTCTGTGCTTAGCAAGTGTAGGGACCCCAAGACAGCCACTTCTATCCACACAGTGTAAACATTCTACAAAACGAGCTGCACTGACAGGTCCAAATGCTGTTTCTTGGCATGAATCGCTGAGGTCAGGCAGGCAGCTGTTCTATGTTCTGAACCACACCGGACTCAATCTAATGATCAGTAATAGTGGTGGTCCCATACTGGGCATAAAATGTGGGCCAAACTCAGGGCTTGGGCGATCTGGAAGGGTGGGTTTATTATCATCTCCATTTTGCAGGTGAGGAACACCGAGGCTCAGTGAGTTAGAGAACTTGCTTAAGGTCATACACAAAGTGGCTGCTTCAGGAGCAGAACCCAAAGCTACAGAACTCCCATTCCTGAGCCCCAGCCATATGTGACCCAGGCGACTGTACTTCTAAAGGCCCCCAGCCTAGGCAGGAGAGGAGAATCACAACAATGGCTAGCACTTGTAGAGTCTGCACTCTGCACCAGGCTCCAAGAACGTAACACATATTATCTCATTTAATCCTCACAACAACCCTAGCTGGGGGGATTGCTGTTATCCTCAAAGTTAAGATGAGTAGGCCACAGCACAGAGAGGCTGAGAGGCTGCGTGTACAAGTTCGCACATTAAGAGGCAGAAACGGCCGGGCGTGGTGGCTCATGCCTGTAATCCCAGAACTTTATGAGGCCAAGGCGGGTGGATCACCTGAGGTCAGGGGTTCGAGACCACCAGCCTGGCCAACAAGGTGAAACCCCATCTCTACTAAAAATACAAAAATTAGCAGGGCGTAGTGGTGCATGCCTGTAATCCCAGCCACTCGGGAGGCTGAGGCAGGAGAATCACTTGAACCTGGGAGATGGAGGTTGCAGTGAGCTGAGATCAGGTGACAAGAGCGAGACTCTGTCTCAAAATAATAATAATAATAATAATAATAATAATAATAATAAGGCAGATGGAAGAGATGGTCAACTGTCCTGGTTGGCTGAGAACTGAAGGGTTTTCCTGGATGTGGGACCTTTGGGCACTAAAATGGGGAAACCTCCAAGCAAACTGGAAGCATTGGTTACCCTACCCAGAGTTGAACCCAGGCAGGGAGGCTCCTAACTAGGGTCCATGCCCCTACCTGCTCCATCACAGGTAGACAGCTGGAAGAAGCTGTCTGGATTTGAGGGTAACTGCCCGTGGGGAGACACACTTGGAAATGACAGATCTGAGATGGGCAGAGACCTCTGGGCATTGAGGATCCATCCCCTTCCTTTGGACAGGGAAGATTCATAATGCCCACTTTACAGATAGGGAAACTGAGGCAGCAGAAGGCAAGGAGCAGCACTAGGTGCCTGGGATATCAGGAGAAAGAAAAAGACCCCAGCCAGGCTGTGAGTGTCGAGGGGGCATGGATGAATCTGTCCTGTCCCTCATGGTACCATGAGCTCCTGGCCCTGGCCCACGGCCCCACTCAATACGTATTTGTCAAATGCATGAATGAGCCAATGAATGACCTCATTGGGGCTCCAATCCCTTGAATAAAAGCTTCGAGAAGGCTGAGCTGAGGTGCAGGCACATGCAGAGTGGGCAGAGAAACAGACCAGCGAGACAACAGGAGGGCCCTGTGGTCAGTGGTCTCCGTAACCCCTCTTCTCCCTTTACCTGATCCTCTCCCCAGGAGAAGCAAAGAGGGACAAGTGGAAGAATTTCAATGTTAAGGGGCAAAAAGTCAAAAGGATACTTTCAAGCTGAATTCAAAACATATATGGAAAAAAAGGTCTGGAGAAAAATTCACAAACTGTTCAAGGGAAGTTTCCTCAGGGGGTGTCATCTCCAGGGCATTTCACGTTCTTTGTTCCATATTTTATAATGATTGAACTTTTTGTAGCCAGTGAGTATTTTTGGTAATCAGAAAAAGTTAAGAGAGGAAAAGCAGAAAATATCCTGTTAAATTTTCTGTCCAGACACTGTTTAAACAGGAATCCGTGCGGGACAGGGACCGCCTTTTAGACTGAGACTGTTTCTGGCATTTCTAAGAATTTGGTGACTTCAGATTATGGGGGAAGAGTAGTAAAAGCTGCCAGTTACCAAGGAAACCACTGTAGACAAACGGTAGTGGACAGCTGTAGATTTTTTTCTGCCCAGAGTTTGTTTTCTCTTCAGTTACTCGCACCCTGAAATACCACCCACCCCTCTAAGTCCAGAAAATAGGGTGGGCATGTGCCCAGATCTGGCCAATGAGAACAGTTAGTGCTCAAAGCCACAGTGATTGCTTTAGGGTCGGTCAGGTGACCCAAGCTAGTTCAGTGAGACTCAGCCTAGGACCTTTTGCTGTAACCACAGGAAGAAAGGTGCTCCCTTTCCACTAAGCTGGGAGACAGTCTGCAGGTGCAGGGATGGCCTGCCTGAGAAGGAAGCCAAGGTGGCCAGAGAAAGAGCAAGGGCCAGAGCGAAGTATGTGAGAGAGAAGCCTGATAAATACAAAAAACCCCTGGATCCAACCATGCCTGAAGTCAGAAGCCTCATAATTTTCCGTAACATAAGCCAATCCATTTCTATCTTGGATCGCCTTGAGTTGTGTGTTGTTTCTTGTGACGAAGGTTCTTGCTGGCATTCAGCCAGAATAGAAAGTAAAAGGTCATGGAAGGGCATTCAGCTCATCTGGGTCCATCCAGAAACAAGGCAGTTTGTGTTCACAAAACAAACAAAGGTTCCTAGGCATGCGACTCACTGACCATGTGGCAATCAGCACCATCACCTCTCACTCAACCCAGTTCCCCATTAACCACCATCACCATCACTCACCCCTTCCCCATTAACCATTATCACCATCACTCACCCCTTCCCCATTAACCACCAACACCACCACTCACCCCTTCCCCGTTAACCATTATCACCATCACTCACCCCTTCCCCATTAACCACCAACACCACCACTCACCCAATCCCCATTAACCACCATCACCACTCACTCATTAGCCACCCTTCCCCATTAACCACCCCCACCACTCACTCATTAGCCACCCTTTCCCCATTAACCATCAGCACTCACTCACCCCTTCCCCAATTACCACCATCACCATCACTCACCCCTTCCCCATTAACCATTATCACCATCACTCACCCCTTCCCCAATAACCACCATCACCATCACTCACCCCTTCCCCATTAACCATTATCACATCACTCACCCCTTTTCCATTAACCACCACCACCACTCACCCCTTCCCCATTAACCACCACCACCACCACTCACTCACCCCTTCCCCATTAACCACCATCACCACTCACTCATTAGCCATGCCCACCACTTACTCCAGCCTCTTTAGCGTCCGTTTTTCCTCAAGGGCCCTCATCAGCACCTTGGTGCCCGTCTCATCGAATTCAGTGTTAGACCACCTGCAGAAGAGCAAGCAGAGGCACGGGTTAGACGAACCTGCCCAGTTCCGGTGCCAGCTGTCCTATCAGCTCCCTTCTCCAGCTCTGTCTCCTGGGAGGCCGACTCTGCATCTGCAGACCCTGGGCCACCCTCGCTGTCCAGGCTCCACTTGGGTATTCCTGGACGCAGGCTCAGGCTCTGGGCATATGCTAGTCACAGCTGGCCTAGCTGAGAAAAGATGCCCTGGATGAGGGCTGCAGCAAGGAAGCTGGGGGCCCAGGGACACACACATACACACACACACACACACACACACACACACACACACCCCTACACACCCACATCCTCCTGTTCTTCAGCCCCCTCCGTGGCCTGCCACAGCCAGCCCAGCAGAGCAAGGCTCATAGCCCAGAGCGGAACAGCCATGCCCATAACCCCTCTGAGAGTCAGTGGGAAATTCAGACCAAAACCATGGTTCGCATCCTTTCCCAGGCCACAGCCAGAACCGCTGGACTTCATCAGGGGAAGGGTCATTGATTGAAGTCCCATTGCCTGCTCTCCCAGAGGCCCTGCTGTCTCCTCCACCCTTCACCCTCAGCTGGGTCACTTGTCCTGGATCCCTTCAATCTGCAACTCACTCCAGCTCCTCCAAGTGGTGGCAGCGGCCCAGACCAGATGCCAGGTGGGCAAGGCCCGCGGTGCTCACACGGCTGGAGGTCAGCCTGGCGGGAGTCAAAGGGCAGCAGGTCAGGTAGGAGCCCTGGGTTTGGGGAGCGTTCAATGCTGGTGGCAGAGGGCAAGGATGTGAAGTAGGGATGTGGTTCCTGGGGGCAGTGGGAGGGACGTTCCTCCCTTCATAAATCTCTTCCACCATGAACTCATTAAGCCAACATAGGGCTTGGACTAGTTCAGTATTTCCCAAACCACAGTCATTCAAGTATCAACTTCACAACTTAAGCCAGAATTAGGTATCACTGTAAAGTCTAGCTAGTTACTGTCATTTATCACAAACGCTGCATCTTTAAAGCAAATACTGGGGAAGTGTCAAAGATCTATCTGTCCTAAAGAGTTTCTTCTTTTTAAAAAATTTATTTTTTGTAGAGATGGGAGTGGGGTCTTGGTGTGTTGCTCAGGCTGGTCTCGAACTTCTGGGCTCAAGTGATTCTTCCTCCTCGGCCTCCCAGACTGCTGGGAGCTGGGATTACAAGCTTGAGCCACTGTGTCCAGCCCAAGAGTTTCTTCTTAGTCTAATCCGTTCGATGGAAAGAAAATTGAAAGTTAGAAAAGCTACATTTTGCAACTATCAAACTGATTCGTTGATTCACTTGAATCAGTGATTTATTAACAGCTGCCGAAATTCACAGATGAGAGTTTGAGGAAGACCAGGATATTTACATAATCTTAAAGTATCTTTAAGTTACTTTATCTTTAAGTAACTGATAGTAATTTTCCAAGTGGAGAGACCTGGCAGATGCACTGTCACAGGTGATCACAGTTAATATCACCAGCCAGGACCCCAGGACATGGACACATCATGTGCCCTGATGGAAGGCACGAGAACACAGCACCGCTTGTGGGATATTCCTGCACAAAGGGCAGACTCTAACTCTATTTTTGTTTTTGAGATGAAGTCTTGCTCTGTCGCCAGGCTCACTGCAACCTCTGCCTTCCAGGTTCAAGCGATTCTCCTGCCTCAGCCTCCTGAGTAGCTGGGACTACAGGTGTGTGCCACCAAGTCCAGCTGATTATTTTATTTTATTTTTTTTAGTAGAGGCGAGGTTTCACTATGTTGGCCAGGATGGTCTAGATCTCTTGACCTTGTGATCCGCCCACCTCGGTCTCCCAAAGTGCTGGCGTGAGCCACTGCGCCCAGCCCGACAGACTCTAAGTGTGAGGAAGCATCAAACAAACCCAAGTAGAAGGACATTCTATAAAATACCTGGCCTATAAATGTCAGAGACAACGCTATGAAAGACAAAGAAGGGCCGAGGAGACCTGTTCCAGGTTGAAGAAGGCTAAAGAGAGATGACACTAAATGACACGTGTGATTCTGGATTGGATCCACAACTGGGAAAAAAGTGCAAGAAGCAACATTATTGGGACAACGGATGGCATTAGAGTGTAAACTGTAGTTGATATAATAGTAGTGTATCAATGTTGCATTTCCTGGATTTTATAATTTGACCGGATCATGGAAGAGAATGTCCTTGTTTTTAGGAAATTCTCTGAAATATTAAGGGGTAAAGGGACATGGTTACAACTTACTTCTAAATGGTTCAGAAAAGGAGAGAAGGAGAGAGGGAAAGAAAAGGGAGGTGGGGAAGAAGGAGGGAGGGAACAAATGAGCAAATGTGGAAAAATGTTGGCAAAAACTGAATTTGTTCTCTTTTTTTTGAGACATAGCCTTTGAATGTTATGTTCATGGGGTTACTTATGGCGAAAGGGCTATGAGAGATGATGAAGTTCCCTGAGCAGACCCTTGCTCCCCTCTCTAGGAGAGAAGGAAGAAGCAGGGCAGGCTGTGGCTGGTAATAGCACAGCAAACAGCTTTACATGCTCCAGTTCCTGTAATCCTCCTAGTCCCACGAACGGCTGTAATTAGACTTTATTTATTTATTTTTTTGAGATGGAGTCTTGTACTGTGTCACCCGGGCTGGAGTGCAATGTCGAAATCTCTGCTCATTGTGACCTCAGCCCCCTGGGTTCAAGCAATGCTCCTGCCTCAGCCTCCTGAGTAGCTGAGATTACAGGCATTTGCCACCACATCCAGCTAATTCTTGTGTTTTTAGTAGAGATGGGGTTTCACCATTTTGGCCAGGCTGGTCTTGAACTCTTGACCTCATGATCTACCTGCCTCAGCCTCCCAAAGTGCTGGGATTACAGGGGTGAGCCACTGAGCCCGGCCTATTAGATTCTTTTTTAAGAGCAGAAGGTTGAGGCCAGAGAGATACAGTAATGGGCTCCAACCAGTAAGTGACTGAGTTGGGATCTGAACATAGGTGAGTGGGATGCTAAAACCTTTGCTAATAGCCACTCTGTGTCATTGTGTTATTTCTGGTTGAAGAGCCATGATGTGTGTTACTGCGTCTGGGAGCTGCCAAGCAACCAACGTCAACTTGCTCTGTCACCCAGGCTGGAGTGCAGTGGTACAATTTTTGCTCACTGCAACCTCAGCTTCCTGGGTTCAAGCAATTCTTGTGCCTCAGCCTCCCAATTAGCTGGGATTACAGTCGCATGCCACCACACCCAGCTAAGTTTTTATATTTTAGTAGAGATGGGCTTTCACCACGTTGCCCAGGGTGGTCCTGAGTTCCTAAGCTCAGGCAATCTGCCTACCTCCGCCTCCCGAAGTGCTAGGATTAACGGTGTGAGCCACCACGCCCAGCACAAAGGGTGTGTTTGGGTAAATGGCACACAGCAGTTCCCAGTCTTCTGAAACTTTGTGCTAGCTCACAGTTATTTTAAAAGAAAAGCGATGAAAGAGCGTCAAAAAGGGAATAACTTTTCCTTTTTTTTTTTTTTTTTTTTTTTTTTTTGCCACGTGGCTCAGTGTTCCTAAGGTCATGATTACAACTGGGTACTGTTAAAAGTCATCTCCAGGGCCACCTGTGGCTTCTGTCCACAGGGTGAGGCACCAAGTCCTCTGAGCCCAGGGCTGGGAAAAACAGGAGGTGTTGGGCAGAGCACAGCTGCAAAGGGGCTGAGTGGAGGTCTTGTCTGCATACCGAAATTTCTTCAGCTCAGAGAGGGACAGCAGGAGACTCCGCAGCAGCAGGGAGCTGGCATCATCGTCCTCGCAGAGGTTAACCTGAGACAAGCTGAAAGGCCCAAGGATATTCCAGAGAATTTCAGGCTGGACACACCTCAGGGGTCATCACATGCAGAAGCGGGTGCCAAGAAATGAGATGGGGCCACCCAAGACCTCCCCTGAGCCACCCTGGGACTCTCCCTTCCCTCAATTGGCCAAGTGTGATTCTCTCCTGCACAGAGAAGTGAGAATGCCAGGGTCACTCGTGGCCTGGAGTAGGCACCAGAGAACTCAGGGCCCCACACAGAGTTTTCGGGTGCTGACCTGAGCTGCTGCAGCCTGGCACATGTCTCCATCAGCTGCCTCACAAGAAGGCTGTGGTGGGTCCCAAGGCCACAGTGAGCCAACCTGGACGCAAACGGGGAGATGACAGTTTCTGAACATCTAGTCCAGTATGGGGGATTCAGTCTCCGCCTGCAAGGAGCTTACGGTGCAGGGGTAAATAAATGCCGATCAAACGAAATCCTGCAGTTTGCTATTCATTTATGAGAAGCGCTAGGAGTCCAGATGGGGCACCTGGTTGTTCACTGCACGAGGGCACCCCTCTGAGGTGGTGAGGTGAGGCTGAGACCCTCCCATGCTCTATTCCCCAGCATGTACACATGCGAGCCGCATCCACTCAAAAGGGTGACATTTCAATTTCCAAAACTGTGCCATATGGATTAGAGGTGCTGTGAATCCAGTTATCTATAAGAGTGGATAATGGAAGTGTTTGGCTAAGTCTTGGGGTCCGGGGGGCCTCCCTGAGGTGGTGGCATTGAAGCTGAGACCTGAGGGATGAGGAGGAGTTAGGCAGGTGAAGAAGGTAGGCGGGAAGAGGACATTCTGGGCAGAGGGCACAGCCTGTGCAAAGGTAAGCAAGGTGGTGTTCTAGGCACTGAAAGCTTGTGGGGGTGACGAGCTGAGACTGGGGCTTGGGGTGGGGCTGGAGCGCCTCAGAAGTGGGTTGGTCAGACCTCTGTAGCTGTGTAAAGACTTCAGACCTCTAAAGACTCTGGGTAGGGTGGTGAATATTGGTCAGAAGCAGCCCCGCCCCCTCCCCAACACCAGCCCCTGCCTTGGGTCCCCCGGTGCCGGGTCCCACCTGAGGGCCACAGCTTCTGGATTCTCTTCCTGGCGAGGAAACTCCAGCTGGACACGGAGCTGCTGCTGGGTCTCGGAGATGCTGGGGAGGGAGTGGCAGCCAACCTGAAGCCAGGCAGCCTTCCCCGGAGGGCCCAGTTGGCACCTGGGCTGCCTGGCTCCGACTCTGAGCTCTGGGACCCTTTGCCTGGGTCCCCTTCTCGCCTCCCACGGCCCAGATTAGGATGGGAAAGTAGGTGTTTCCCTGAGTCGCATACAATACCCCAAATCGTGCCTTTTCGGCAATTTTTTTTTTAAAAGAGACAGAGTCTTGCTCTGTACCCTAGGCTGGAGTGCAGTGGCCGGCACCATCACTGCTCGCTGCAGCCTTGAACTCTTTGCTTCAGCGATCCTCCTGCCTCGGCCTCCCGAAGTGCTGGGATTACAGGCGAGAGCCACCACGCCTGGGCCCTTTTCAAGAACTTAAAGTTAATAAATTGATGAGGCTTTTCAGACCATGACAGAAAGCCATTAGAGGGATCCCAGGGAAGTTCCAGAATGTTCTGAGGGAGGGGCTCAAGGACCACAGCGTGGTGCAAGGGTGGGGTAGGGGCTGTGTCTGGAGTCCGCATCTGCACTCTGAGCTCACTGTCTTTACTTGAATGCTTTGTTCATGGGGGTGCTTATGTGGAGAGGGCTGTATGAGATGAAGTCCCTGAGCATCCCCTTGCTCACTCCTGGAGGAGAGAAGGAAGAAGCAGGGCAGGCCGTGTGCCTGGTGACCGCACAACAGTCATCTTCACATGCTCCAGTTCTTGTAATCCTCCTAGTTCCAGGAAGGGCTGTAATTAGACTCTTTTTTTTTTTTTTTTTTCCCCGAGGTGGAGTTTTGCACTATCACCCAGGCTGGAGTGCAGTGGTGTAATCTTGGCTCACTACAACCTCGGACCCTCAGGTTTAAGCGATTCTCCTGCCTCAGCCTCCCGAGTAGCTGGGATTACAGGTACTTGCCAGCACACCCAGCTAATTTTTGTATTTTTAGTAGGGACAGGGTTTCGCCATCTTGGCCAGGCTGGTCTTGAACTCTTGACCTTATGATCCACCTGCCTCAGCCTCCCAAAGTGCTGGGATTACAGGTGTGAACCACTGTGCACAGCCTATAATTAGACTCTCTTAAAAGAGCAGGAGATTGAGGCCAGAGAGACACAGTAATGGGCTCCAACCACTAAGTGACTGAGCTGGGATCTGAAAATAGGTGAGCGGGATGCTAAAATCTTTGCTATTAGCCACTCTGTGTCATTGTGTTATTTCTGGTTGAAGAGCCATGATGTGTGTTACTGCGTCTAGGAGCCACTTCCAAGCAACCTGCGTGGACTCCCAGCCACGTCTGCCTGGATCCACTAGCCTTTTGTCCTGAATCTGGGGATGTCTTCCGGTGACACTGTCCCAGCAATTGTGTATCCCCTCACATATACCCCCGGAGCTCCTGCTATTCTGGGGTCACGGAGAATTAGCTGGGACACAGCTATTACCCCACAGGATGAGGGAAGGCCAAGGAAAGTCCCAATGCTCATGAAAGATGAAGAATTCCAAGAGGGCCTCTTCTGTGGACTCACCTTATTTCAGTGACATTGCCTGAGGCCTGGGCGCAGACTTCTAATAGGGAGAGTACTCCAGCTTGGTCCACCCATGGCTCCTGCACCCTGCCACAGAAGGGGACACAGATAAAGTCCTCCAGGGTGAATAGCAGACAATCAGCAGACATGTGGGGGTGCGGGGAAAGTGTCAAGGGGGTTCTAGAGGCCTTTTTTTCCCCTTAGTTTTAAAACTATAAAATTATACAACTAGGCATCAGCTTAGAAAAGGAAATTAGCATCACCTTTATTCCAACAACTATTATGACAATCCAAACAGAAAATATTATTTTTAATGATATTTTTATTTTTTATTTAATTTATTTATTTTTGAGAAGGAGTTTTGCTTTTGTTGTCCAGGCTGGAGTGTAATGGCAGGATCTCAGCGACTGCAACCTCCGCCTCCTGGATTCAAGCAATTCTCCTGCCTCAGCCTCCCAAGTAGCTGAGATTACAGGCATGCGCCGCCATGCCCAGCTAAATAACAGGGTTTCCCCATATTGGCCAGGCTGGTCCCAAACTTCTGACCTCAAGTGATCCACCTGCCTCGGCCTCCCAGAGTGCTGTGATTATAGGCGTGAGCCACTGCACTGGGCCACTGATATTTTTAGATTTAAGAAAAGATCCACAAAATGCTACATCACGACGGCAAGGAAACCAAACTGTATGTAAAACATGGTCCCATTTTTTTTTTTTTAAGACAGAGTCTGGCTTTGTTGCCAGGCTGGAGTGCAGGGGCGCCATCTTGGCTCACTGCAACCTCTGCCTCCCAGGTTCAAGTGATTCTCCTGCTACTCAGCCTCCTGAGTAGCTGGGACTACAGGTGCGCACCACTACACCAGCTAATTTTGTATTTTTAGTTGAGACAGGTGTTACCATGTTGGTCAGGATCGTCTTGAACTCCTGAGACTGCCTGCCTTGGCCTCCCCAGATACTGGAATTATAGGCCCAATTTTGTATTTTAAAAAAAGGAAAGTATGGGTAGAAAAAAGTATGGAAAGAAGGAGGGAGATAGAGGTATGTGGAAAACATAGGAAAATATATGAAATGTTTATGGCGGTTGCTTAGATGACAGGATTCTCATGAGTGATTTTTATTTTATTCTTTAATTTTCTGAGCTTTCTACAATGCATGTGCATTAATTTGGAAGCAGGAAAAAGAGAATTCAAATATGACTGCTTTAAAGTTATGTTGAATTTTTAAAGGAATATTTTCTTTATGTATTTCTGAATTTTCTGCACATTTCTACAATGAGTAAATATTTTTTATTTTTATTTTTTGTAGACATGGGGTTTTGCCATGTTGTTCAGGCTTGTGTTGAACTCCTGAGCTCAAACCATCTGCCCACCTCAGCCTCCCAAAGTGCTGGGATTACAGGCATGGGCCACCTCACCTGGTCAATATTATTTTTAGACTAAGAAAAGTTTTATGTAAAAATGTTATTTTGGGGCCAGCGCAGAGGCTTACACTTGTAATCCCAGCACTTTGGGAGGCCAATGCAGGTGGTGAGGATTTTGAGACCAGCCTGGCCAACATGGCGAAACCCTGTCTCTACGAAAAATACAAAAATCAGCTGGGCATGGCAGCGTGTGCCTATAGTCCCAGCTACTTGGGAGGCTAAGGCAGGAGAATCACTTGAACCTGGGAGGTAGAGGTTGCAGTGAGCCAAGACCGTGCCATTGCGCTCCAGCCTGGCAACAGAGCAAGACTCCATCTAAAAAAATAAAAAGTTATTTTGGATGATCTAGCAATTCTGGATATATAACCAAAATGAAAGCTGGGACTTTCTGGCTTGGTGTGGGGGCTCACACCTAGCACTTTGGGAGGCCAAAGTGGGTGGATCACTTGAGCTCAGAAGGTTGAGACCATCCTGAGCAGAACAGTGAGAACTTGTCTCTATTGTTTCTGAAATAAAATAATATTTAAAAAAGAAAGTGGGGACTGTCAATTGGACACTTGAATGGATGACCCAAGTGTCCATTGATGGATGAGTGGATACACAAAATTTGGTCTATCCATACAATGAAGTATTATGCAGCCTTAAAAAGGAAGAAGTCAAGTGCAGTGGCTCACAGCTGTAATCCCAGCACTTTGGGAGGCTGAGACAGGTGGATCACCTGAGGTTAGGAGTTCAAGACCAGCCTGGCCAACATGGTGAAACCCCATCTCTACTAAAAATACCAAAAAAAAAAAAAAAAAAAAAAATTAGCCGGGTGTGGTGGCAGGTGCCTGTAATCCCAGCTACTTGGGAGGCTGAGGCAGGAGAATCGCTTGATTCTGGAAGGTGGAGGTTGCAGTCAGCTGAGATGTCACCACTGCACTCCAGTCTGGGCAGCAAGAGTGAGACTTGTCTAAAAAAAAAAAGTCTGACACACTGACACACACTACAACATGAATTAACCAGAGGATATTATGCCAAGTGAAATGAGCCAGTCACGAAAAGACAAATACAGACAAATACAAATGAATCTACTCACATAAACTATTCAGAGCAGTCCAATTCATAGAGACAGAAAAGCAGAATGGTGGTTGCAGGGGCTGGGGGCGCGGGGGTTGGGTGTTGTTTCATGGGGACAGAGGTTCAGTTTTGCAAGATGGAAAGAGTTCTGGAGATTGGCCATGCAAAAAAGTGGATGTACTTAACACTCCTACACTTAGAAATGATTAAGATGGTAAATTTTGTTGTGTGTGTTTGTGTGTGTGTGTGTGTGTGTGTGTGTGTGTGTGTGTTTTGAGACAGAGTTTCATTCTTGTTTCCCAGGCTGGAGTGAAGTGGCACAATCTCGGCTCACCACGACCTCAGGCCCTCCGGGTTCAGGTGATTTTCCTGCCTCAGCTTCCGGAGTAGCTGGGATTACAGACATGTGCCACCATGCCTGGCTAAATTATGTGTATAATTATTACAATTTTTTACAGGTTATTTTGGGGAACGGCCACTCCTTAGGTGCTTTGTCACAGGGTACAATAAGAAGTGCACAGCACTGTCTGTGACAGAAGTGTTTTTGGCACAAGTATGAAGCTGAATGTCATTGAGCCTTTTGATCTAACCTCCAGTTTACAGTAAAGTCAGGGGTTAGAGGAAAACGCACTGTGACATCATCAGGAAGCCTCCAGAGTCAGGAGAAGGACAGTCTGCAGTACACGCAGTTGCTGATTTTGTCAACAGACACTGACATGAAACAGAAAACTGTGGTGGGAGGGGGCAGCGTGCCACAGGATAGAAGAGTCATAAGACCATTGCCACCTGGTGCAAATTTGAACCAGATGTGACCAGATCCTGGATCCCAAAGCCAGCTGTCCCATCTGGGGGATGAAGGTGACATTTTAGATTAGACTAGGTAGCACCGGACACTAAGGAATGGCTGATTTTCTTAGCTGTCCCAATGGAACTGTGATTACAGAGAAAATGTCCTTTTTTTCTTCTTTCTGAGACTGAGTTTCACTCTTGTTGCCCAGGCTGGAGTGTAATGGCATGACCTCGGCTCACTGTAACCTCCACCTCCCAGGTTCAAGTGATTCTCCTACCTCAGCCTCCTGAGTAGTTGGGATTACAGGCACATGCCACCACACCCAACTAGTTTTTGTAGTTTTGGTAGAAATGGGGTTTCACCATGTTGTCCAGGCTGGTCTCAAACTCCTGACCTCAGGTGATACACACACCTCAGCCTCCCAAAGTTCTGGGATTATAGGTGCGAGCCACTGAGCCAGGCTGAAAATGTCCTTATTTTTTGGAGATTCATGGGGAAATATTTAGGAGTGATGTATTATAAGGTCTATCACTTACTTAAAACCATTTTAGCTGAAATTAAAATAAAAACGAAGTAAATATGAAAAATTATGAACAACTGTCAAACTTAGGTGCTGGGAATAGGAGATTTAAACAATTATTTTCTCTACTTTGGTATCTTCTTTTTCTGAGTGTTTTAAAATGATCATGGTCAACAGACAGACATGAACTTTGTTTCGGGTTATTTTTGTCTTCAGTTCAGGATCCTCTGGAACTTCCTTTCCCCCCGCCCCCACTTAAATCCCAAAGCACAGGCCTCCAGCCTTGGGAAGGTCAGTTTCTCTGTGTGCCTTGTGGAGTCTCTGGCACAGATGGACAGGGTTTGCTCAGGGTCCAGGTGGCAGGGTTGTGGATACAGGAAATGGCTGGGGCCATGATCCTGGGGGACTCTTACTCCAGTGCCCACCCCTGCTCCCATTCATACCATAGCCCCTCCCGGAGGCAGAGGGGAAGGAGGTACCTGAGGCTGAACAGCCCTGCTGGTCGCTGCACCAAGCTCAGGAGGGTGGTCAGCTGCTCTTGGCCCAGGCAGCACTGGGTCAGCCTGGGGACAGAGGTCAGTCACTGGGGTGGCTCTGGCAGGGTGCCCCCACCCCTCTGCTGTCCCCATGGGCTGGGTGGGTCACTCACATGAGCTCCGTAAGCTGCAAGGACTGGCTCAGGCCGACAGCCAGCCTGAACACGTGCTCTGGACGGAAGCTGCACTCACTCAGCCTGAGGGCAGAAAGCCAGGGCAGAGCCTGGGTGAGGCCTGTAGGCACTGCCACCCAGCTTCATCCCAACCTCCCTGAGGGCCTATTGGGGAAGCCCCCGACACCCAAGGGCAAAGGCCTGGATCAGACTCTGAGAATCCAAAGATGCAGCTCCTACCCCAGGAGCTTCCTGTCTCTTTGGAGAAAAACCTCCCGCACCCCCTGTAAAAAAGTATCAGGAGTCTCACTTTAGGCCGGGTGCTGTGCCAGCCTCTGGGTGCACGTGTACACATGGCACAGGGGAGTTAGTGTGTCGGGTGTGTGTGTGGTGTGTGTGTAGTGTATGTTATATGTTGTGTGTGCTGTGTGGTGTGTGTGTGTGTTGTGTGTGGTATGTGGGGGGTGTGCATGGTGTATATGTGGTACGTGGGGTTGGTGTGTGTGGTGTATGTTATACGTTGTGTGTGCTCTGTGGCATGTGTGTGTTGTGTGTGGTGTGTGGGGGGTGTGCATGGTGTATATGTGGTATGTGGGGTTGGTGTGTGTGGTGTGTGTGTGGTGTGTGTGGTGTGTGTATGTTGTACGTTGTGTGTGCTGTGTGGCATGTGTGTGTTGTGTGTGGTGTGGGGGTGGTGTGCATGGTGTATATGTGGTATGTGGGGTTGGTGTGTGTGGTGTGTGTGTGGTGTGGGGGGTGGGAAAAGACGTGGGGGAAGGTGACAGTTGGATCAGACTGTGAGGGAGAAGACGCTAGGGATTTTGAACTTCACCTGGGGGGCAATGGGGAGCCACTGAAGGACATAGAGTGGAGAGAGGCACAGTCAGATGTGTGTTGTGAAGATCCCTCCGGGGGCAGCGGGGTGAGGGGAGGGGAGGATGCCTGACGAGAGTCAGGGGACCAGTCTGAAGGCCCTGTTCACAGCTGAAGTAAGACATGTACAGGAAGTGGCCCAAGGCAGTGGCGGTGAGGCTCAGAGAGTTCAGGGCTGCCAAGGGTAATGAGAATATCACAATAATAACAATAGTGACAGCCGACAGCACTGCTATCGGCCAGACCTTCTCCCAGCACTTGCTACTTAACTCACGTAATCCTCACAATCACCCTAAGGGGCAGGTTGTGCTGTTATCCCTATTTCACTTGTCCAGGGCCACACAGCTGGTAAGTGGCAGAGCAGGGATTTATTTGCAGGTGGCTTCAAAATCTTAACCATGACACTCAGAAGCATCAAGACCTGTAGTCAGGACATGGCTAAGAGGCACAAGTCCAATGCCAAGGCCCTGGCTGATCTGGAGTGCCGAGGCACTGGGGGCAGATCTGGGAAATAGACCCAGGCAGGGAGCTTGAAGCTGCTGTCTAAAGGAGGAGAGGGCCCAGGGAGAGGGGACCATGGAGGCTGCCACCAATCAGCTTCCTCTCCCCTCTCCCTCCCCTGTCCCATCACCCCGCAGGGATTACCTGAGCGTCTTCCCAGCCTGGTCCTCTTTGGAGAAGTGAATCTGGAAGCTCTGCTCAGAGCCCAGGCTGCAGAGAGAAGGGCCTGGGAAGTGCGGTGCCCAGATGTGCCAGCCTCCTAGGCACCCAGGGCACCCATGGGACACAGAGAGGAAAGCGGGGCTGCACCCACAGGGACAAGGGAGGGTGGAGGCCTCAGAACCAGAGGAGATCCCCAAACTCATTCTGTGAGCATGGCGATACCTGGCCTTCCCACCCCGTGGCCTCTGTGGTCCCCGTGGCACCCGGGCATCAAGGGATGGAAATTATGATCCCATGCTCAGGAAACCTGAGATTCAGAGAGAGGCAGAGGTTGCCCCAAGTCACCCAGATGGAGGGCCACAAAGTGTGGGTGCCTTGCTTCTCCCATCATCAGCCAGGGATACCAACATCCCCTTACTTCACCGAGGCCTCCCGGACACGTGGGCAGGAGGACAGGGTCTCTACCAGGCACAGGGCACTTTCCTGAGAGGCGTTGTTGTGACTCAGACTAGAAAAGAAACAGGGCTGAAGATGGGGGTGGAGGCGGGGCCTCCATGGAACCCTGCCCAGCCCCCTCCGCCTCCCCTCCAGCTGTCATTTCCAGGAACAGAGGCCTCCATGTCTAAGCATCTATTCTCCAGATGGACGCACTGAGGCCCAGAAGGACACCATCCCCACACAGGCAGAACTGGCACCAGACCCTGAATCTGTGAGCACTGCACTCGCCCTGTGGTCTGGGGCAGGGCACTGACGAGGCTGGGCTGGCAGCTCTAGCCCCACCTGGGTCCAGGAATCCTGGGCACAAAGTGCAGTTGCTTAGCAGCAAGTGGTGTCCTGGCTCTGGCTGCCCCAGGTCACTGGGGAGATGAAGCAAGCATGTGGACGACTTCCTAAGGCCCCTCGCCAGCTGCAGGGACATCTCCAAATTTATGTCCCATAGATTGGGTCAGAGGAACTTCAGGGACAGGATGGACCAGGAGACAGGCAGCTGCAATCTCATATCAGCTGGTTGGGGATGGAATGTTGCTTCCTTGCCCCGGGGTCAGCTTGGCTGTATGAATACGCCAAGGGACAGCTCCATCCCACCATGAGTCATAGCCTGTCTTGGGTGTTTGGTGGAGGCTCTGCCCATGGTGGGTGTGAGGGACAGAGGAAGGGACCCAAGGCCGGGGGAGTGAAGGCAAGGGAAGAATCACCCCTTGCCCTTCGTAGTCCTTGTTCTCTGGGGCTCTGGGGAAATGCCCTCAGAAGGAGCCCCCTTGTGGTCTTGGCCCAGGGAAACCTTCCTCCTTGCTCTCTGTCCTTCAGGCTGCTTTCCACTTACTCAAGTGAACCGGAGATGGGCACCTGCGGCAGACATTCCAGAACGGATCTGATCCCACCGTCACCCAGCTGGTTTACTGAGAGGCTGTAGGGAGTAAGGAGCAGTGGCGGTGGTCAGAGGTACCTCCTCAGCTTGAGACGCTCCTCAGTCACCAGAAGCTTGCATCCACTGTCACTGATACTGAATCCCATGCCAGGGTCACGAGAGCCACCACCATCACCACCACCACCAGTATCACCACCATCACCACCACCATAAGTATTACCACCATCAGTATCACCACCATCACCACCACTACCGGTATCACCATTATCACCACAATCAGTATCACCACCATCAGTATCACCACCATCACTTCCACCAGCATCACCACCATCACCACCACCATCAGTATCACCACCATCACCAGTATCACCACCAGCATCACTACCATCACCACCACTCTTTCATTATAACCACAACTCTACACCACCAAGCCCACCACCACCACCACCATTGCTTCCATCACCACTAGAATGACCATGAACTCCTGCTTTCCCCGCTACCATCCCCTCACCAGCACCACAGTAAACCTGTCCTCATTGTCCCCTTCCATATTGGGTGACCACTCCTAGCTCATGTGCCTCCAGCAGGCCTTCAGGGTTAAAGAAAAACCAGTTCGCCTTTACCATGCCCTTGGCCTGCATGATTTGCGATCCACAGTTTTCGAATGAGAAGAAATTCAGGAAAAAAAAAAAATGTTTGGAGGATGCATTGACCCCATAGATTCCTTGTTTTAATCTGGGAATGCAATATCAATTTTGGAAACTTCACCTGATTAGTTTCTTAATTCCTTCATTGCAGCATTCTGTTGTTTTATTTATTTATTTACTTTCATTTATTTATTTATGTTGAGATGGAGTCTTGCTCTTGTTGCCCAGGCTGGAGTGCAATGGCACAATCTCAGCTAACTGCAACCTCCGCCTCCCGGGTTCAAGTAATTCTCCTGTCTCAGCCTCTCAAGTAGCTGAGATTACAGGCATGTGGCACCAAGCCTGGCTAATTTTGTATTTTGAGTAGAGATGGAGTTTCACCATGTTGATCAGACTGGTCTCGAACTCCTAACCTCAGGTGATCCACCTGCCTCGGCCTCCCAAAGTGCTGGGATTGCAGGAGTGGGCCACCATGCCAGGCTAGTTTTAGCTACAGTTTAGAAATAATATAACTACTGGAACATGTTATTTTTCTCCTGTGTCTTTGACTTTTTTTTTTTTTTTTTTTTCTTTTGGAGATGGAGTTTCTCTCTGTCACCCAGTCTGGAGTGCAATGATGCAATCTCGGCTCACTGCACCTCCCGGGTTCAAGCAAATCTGCTTCAGCCTCCCAAGTAGCTGGGATTACAGGCATGTGCCACCACACCCGGCTAATTTTGTATTTTTAGTAGAGATGAGGTTTCTCCATGTTGGTCAGGCTGGTCTTGAACTCCCGACCTCAGGTGATCCTCCCACCTCAATCTCCCAAAGTGCTGGGATTACAGGTGTGAGCCAACGCACCTGGCCTGACATTTTTTATGTTTGTTAATTTCATCTTTTCCTAAGAAACGTCATTTAAAAATTGGTTTGTCTTTTGAAGCCACTTAATAAAATAGTCTTTAAAATAGGAAAAATCTCCCTCTACAATGAAAAACAGTAACACTCAAAGACATATTTCTTATTCATATCTCTTTAAAATACATCCCAAGGGCAGTGGCTCAGGCCTATAATCTCAGCCACTTGGGAGGCTGAGGCAGAAGGATCACTTGAGCTCAGAAGTTTGAGACCAACCTGGGCAACATGGCAAGACTTCATCTCTTACAAAAACTGAACTATTAGCAAGCCGTGTTGGTGTGTGCCTGAAGTCCCAGCTACTCCAGAGGCTGAGGTGGGAGGATCGATTGAGTCCAGGAGTTGGAGGCTGCAGTGAGCTATGATCACACCACTGCACTCCAGCCTGGGCAACAGAGTGAGACCCCAGGTCTTTAAAAAAATCCATTATTTCATCAGCCACATTTTTCTTCTCAGCCACATCACAACAGAAATGTAAATTGTATGACATTTTTGGTGGACAGCTCTCTCTATTTCCGACTGGTTCTACGCTGGATTCCCGATGTTTGTGATCAGGGACTGCATTTTACTAGCTGTGTGATCTTGGGCAAGTTCTCTCTTGCACTGAGACACTCTGTCTCAGTTCCCTCATCTGTAAAATGGGAACAATACTAGTGTCCAGGGATACTGGAAAGATAAAAAGAACACGTCAAGCATTTAGAACAGTGGAGAAAATGCTCAATAGGTGTTAGCCATTATTATTCCACCCATGCAGGGGCTGACTATTGGAGTACCCAAGACAGGCCATGTGGACACCACATCTCAATACAAGATGATGCAAGACCCCATCCTGGCTGGCTCTGCGTCCCTCCTCAGGTGGAACCATTTGGTACTTCTAACCACCTACTGGGCCAACAATGAATCTTTCGTTTTAGCCCCCAGCTGCCTGCAGAGCTTGCACACACTTGAGGCTGAGGGCTGCCCAAGTCAGGGGGGCACACCATGGAACTGGCTCCACCATGGCAGGAGTGGGGCAGGAGAGAGAAAATGGATTCAGGATATGTGACCCAAAGTCCCAATCATCCCTAACAGCTGGTCCTGAGAGGTGTAGGCGGGCACACATGGATACTCACACCCCCTCCAGTGCCCCCCAGGCATGCATCCATGCTCTTCTCCTTCCTCCTTCCCCTCCTCCCTCAACTTACTCCACCTGGCTGAGGTCCTCACACTTGCTCAGCAACCAGCACAGTGACTCCACCTGCTCCTGGCTGAGGCTGCAGCCCGTGAACCTGCTGGGCAGAGGTAGAGGGACAAGCAGGGAATGGGGCGTTTGGCCACTCAGACCACCTCTACCCTGGCTAGTCCCAGGCACAGCCTCTGAGCTCCAGGTGGGTCTCGCCTCAAGCTTGGACCCTCTGGAAGTGTCCAGAGTCCCCTGCTCCCTCCCTCACAGTAGATCCCCTTGGACCTGTGTTTCTTCATGCTGGGTGAAACAAGCCCCCTCTGCAGTATTGCTCCAGGGGAATGTTTTGTGGTAGGCAGTCTGCATGCTGCTCTGACCACCCAGGAGGCAGATCTACTGGTCCCCAACATCAACTAGCTGCCTGGACACGGTTCAATGGGGCTTACCCACAGCACACGCCTTCCTGCTCCTCGTTAGATCTGAAGTGTAGGGATGCGTGGTGCAGAGACCTGGAGCAGACAGCACCTGGGTCAGCCAGCTGCAGCTGCAGCCTCAGGATGCCCCCGCAGAGCCAGCACCCCTCCTCCAGAAGCCCAGCCTCTAGTTGAGTCCTACTGTCTTCATCCTACCCCTCATACCCACCAGGCTCCAGGCGCAACCCTTCAGGACTAGTCCTGGCTGTCCCAGGGGAATGCCCACCTGAGATCCACCTTTTTAACCCGAGGGCACAGGCTGAAGATGTCGGCCAGCAGGAAGGGGCTTCTTGGGGACAGTCCCGTCTGGCTCAGCCTGAAAAGGAAAGGGGAGCGATCTCAGCAAGATGAGTGGACAAGGAACCTGACTGGGTTGGAGGGTGAGGAAAGGGAGGGTGGGGAGGGCTGGGAGCTCAGCAAGGCAACAGGGAAGCAGGCAGGGGCTCAAGAGGCACAAATAGGGCTGAGGGTCAGGCAGATTTCGATTTGAGTCCCTGTTCTGCTTACTGGCTGTGTGACTTTGGACAAGTCACTTCACCTCTCTGAGCGTGTTTCCTTATCTGGAAATCTCGAGGTATATGCAGGTGCACTGCCAGGCATGGGATCCATGTTTGCTGTTATTATTACTATTGTTTTTATCTGCAAGCACAGATTTCACAGGTGACTCCTTGCTCACAGAGAGTGGGAAGCTTCAGGCCCTTCAGACACAGTTTTTAAACCTTAGCGCTATTGAGATATGGGGTCCAATAACTTCTTGTTGGGAGCTGCCCTGTGCCCTGTAGGATGTTTAGAATCATCCCAGATCTCTATTCATTTGATGCCAGTAGCAGCACCCCCACCCACAGTCATGACCACCAAAAATATCTCCAAACATTTCCAAATGTCCCCCAAGTGTGAAGATCACACCCCCAGTTGCAGACCACTGCCTTAGAGGAAGTGAGATGGGTTCACTTTGCTCTCAGAGGCAGCCTCAGCACCTTCAATTGCCTTGGTAACCCCCCATCAGCTGGTCTGTAAATTTCACTCTGAAGATCCACCCTGAGTCCACCCACTTCCACCCCACCCCAGCAGTGATCGGCCGCCAGCATCCTTCACCCTGCTGCACACATCTCTTCCCACTCTCATTCCCACTCGTATCTCCCAATCCCTTCTCTACCCAGCACTCAGACTGAGCTTTTGAAAATCCAAATTAGGGCCAGGCACGGTGGCTCGCACCTGTCATCTCAGCCCTTCGGGAGGCTGAGGTGGGTGGATCACTTGAGGTCAGGAGTTCGAGACCAGCCTCGTCAATGTGGTGGAACTCCATCTCTACTAAAAACACAAAAATTAGCCAGGCATGATGGTGCAGGCCTGTAATCCCAGCTACTTGGGAGGCTGAGGCGCGAGAATTGGTTGAACCTGGGAGGCAGAGGTTGTAGTAAGCCAGAATCACACCACTGCACTCCAGCCGGGGTGACAGAGCAAGACCCTGTCTGCCTGCCCCCACAAAAAAAAAGAAAACCTAACTCATTCCTCTCCCTTTCATGTTCCTAGGAACAAAAGTCTAAACTTCTTCCCACGGGCTCCAGGCCCTGTGTGACCCAACCCCAGCCCATCTCTCTCTTCTTGTTCTCCTAAGACTCTCCCTGCCAGGCACTGTTCTCTGGCTACACTGGCTTCCGTGCTTTTCCTGGAGTCCACCAAGCTTAATCATGCCTCAGGGCCTCACACATGCCGTTCCCTCTGCCTGGAATGCAGCTCCCCGCTCTCCACAAAGTGGGCTGTTTCTCTTCCCTTAGGTCCCAGCTCAGCATCCCTCCTCAGAGATATTCTCTGACGTTTCTGCCATCATCTAAATCATCTCTCCAGCCACTCTTCACCACATCCCCGAGAAAATTCCCTTATCACTGACTAAGTTCATCTTATTTGCTTTTACTTTACTTATTTTTCAGCTTGCTACCGTAAGATGAGCTCCAAGAAGGTAAGGACATAGTCAAGTTTTTCTGCTGCGTCTCCAGCACCTCACAGTGCCTGGCTAACAGTAGGTGCATAAGCACTACACGTTGAACTCTACGAAGTTTAAACCCTAACAAGGGGTCAGGCTGGCCACCCACTCCAAAGGCAGACGGGGAGTCAGGGTGAAGCTGTGTGATTTAGGCAAAGGGAAGTTCCTCTCTGGTCTGAGGTTTCTAACCTGTTCAATTTTAACCTGCATTTTTTTTTTTTTTTTTTTTTTTTTTTTTTGAGACAGACAGAGTCTTGCTCTGACACCCAGGCTGAAGTGCAGTGGCATGATCTCAGCTCACTGCAAACTCTGCCTCTGGGGATCAAACAGTTCTCCTGTCTCAGCCTCCCAAGTAGCTGGGATTACGGGCGTCCACCACCATGGCTGGCTCGTTTTTGTATTTTTAGTAGAGATAGAGTTTCACCATATTGGTCAGGCTGGTCTTGAACTCCTGACGTCTGGTGATCTGCCTGCCTCAGGCTACCAAAGTTCTGGGATTACAGGTGTGAGCTACCTCACCCGGCCTAAATCCTTTTAAAATTCTAACCAGTCTGAGATGAAATTAGAAAATAGCTTTAATTCTTTGAGGTATGCTGCTTAAATTCCCCTTTTGCAGGGTTTGATGGTGATCTTTAAAAGGTAGTGTATGACGGCCAGGCACAGTGGCTCACACCTGTCATCCCAGCATTCTGGGAGACCAAGGCGGGCGGATCATGAGGTCAAGAGATCGAGACCATCCTGGCCAACATGTTGAAACCACATCTCTACTAAAAATACAAAAAGTAGCTGGGCATGGTGGCGAGCACCTGTAGTCCTAGCTACTTGGGAAGCTGAAGCAGGAGAATCACTTGAACCCAGGAGGTGGAAGTGGCAGTGAGCTGAGATTGTGCCACTGCATTCCAGCCTGGTGATAGCAAGATTCTGTCTCAAAAGAAAAGTAGTGTGTGGCAAACATGGGACCTACATCTGTACAGCCTCTTTCTATGGGGGGGATGATCTTCCTGTGGGTGGGGAGACATAGGACAGCTCACTTGTCACAGGCTTCCATTTTCTAAAGGTGATTTTAGAACACTTATTTGAGTCCCAACCCTGGGGGACTGGGTGGGGCATATTAATCCGATTTGTCAGATGACGAAACTGAGATGCAGAGGAGGCAAACGATGCCCCCTTAGTTGGACAAAGTATTAGGGTGGAGCTGGAAGCAGATTTGAGTCCCCGTTGTGCCAGGTAAAATGCTAAAACAACCTAAGGAAAGAATGGGGTGGGTAGAGGGCGCTAGAAGGGGGAAAGGAGGGAGGTTGAGGGGTTCGAGGGCAGGCACAGCTTTGCAATGAAGGAGCCTTAGGGACACAGGCACATGGAACCGGGAAACAGGCAACTCGTCTTACTGCAGCAGGCTCAGCTGGGGGAGTCGGGGCAGGCAGTGCAGCAGAGTCTCCAGGCTCTGGTCACTCAGGACCTCACAGGACAATCTGTGAAACAAAGCATGTGAATGACGTGGGGGAAACCTTCCAGGAAAGCAGGGAACACGGCCTCACAGCCAGAGTCTTCTGGAGATGGGACCTAACCAGGGTCACCTGAAATATTCCCTCCCAGCATGGGGTCCATGGGTTATCCGTGGGGCAGGAAGAGGAGGAAGGTCTTGTAAGTTTGGAAAATACGGGCTGAAGCCCAGTTAAATGATTCTGTTTGCTGCATGACTCCTCTGAGCCTTTGATATGCTGCTGTGCATTATGAATTTCCAAGGAACTACTGTAGACGTTTCCCCAAACTAAATAGACTAGCAGAATTAATTTTTGAGGGCCATAAAAGTGAGTGTTTTGCAAAACACGTTTGTTAAGAAAAGAATGCAGCCTGTATTTGGTGGCTCACGCCTGTAATCCCAGAACATTGGGAGGCCGAGGAGGCAGGCAGATCATGAGATCAGGAGATCGAGACCATCCTGGCTAACACAGTGAAGCCCGTCTCTACTAAAATTACAAAAAAAAATTAGCCAGCCATGTTGTCGGGTGCCTGTAGTCCCAGCTACTTGGGAGGCTGAGGCAGGAGAATAGCTTGAATCTGGGAGGCAGAGGTTGCAGTGAGCCAAGGTCGCACCACTGCATTCCAGCCTGAGCGACAGAGTGACTCCGTCTCGAAAAAAAAAAAAAAAAATTAGCCAGGCATGGTGGTGTGCACCTGTAGTCCTCGCTTCAGGAGGCTGAGACTTGGGAATCACTTGAATCTGGGAGGCAGAGGTTGCAGTGAACCAAGATCACACCACTGTGCTCCAGCCTGGGTGACAGAGCAAGTCTTAACCCAGAGGAGTGAATATGATGGTGGAAATTCGGCATACAACAAGTCAGCAAAGGAGACAGGGACTGGCTCGGGCATCTAATTTCCCATCAACACCAAACCAACCAGCTCATCGTTGTCCAGATAATTAGTCAGAACCCAGTGCATGTAGGAGACACTTCAGACAACCACTTTACTGTCTCTGCTCTAAATGGAAGACCAGGGCAACTCAAGACTTTGAGTGCCCTGGGGCTTACATGCAGCCCCTTCCCGACCCCGCAGACCTCTACTATGTTCTTTTGCCTTTGCCACCTTCCCCTTCCTCTCTTTCTGTTCCTTTGTCCTCTGCAGGCTGCCCTCTCCCTTCTTGGGGGCCTCCAAGAGCCTGGCCCATTTGGGCAGCTTTCTTCTCTGGCTGGTTGGAGGGAGGAATGGAGTGCAGGAACCCCACATAATTGGCCCAGTGAGCTGGCGGGTGGGGTAGGACGGGAGGAGCTGTCTGTGGTCCTGGGGCTGGAAGCCTCATGGTGGAATCTCTGCCAGGGCCCAGGCCACAGGCAGGCCCAACTCTCCCCTTTCTGCCCCAGGGACTGGGCATGGGCCCCGGAGGCAAGTCAAGACCAGGGTCTTTATTGAGGGGTGGTCTTTCCAGAAACACATCCTGCATAGCGTCCCACCAGACCCCAAATACACCATGGGCTCTGAATGGCAGAGGAGGTGCTTACTCCTCCCTTTTTTTTTCTAAAGAAATGGAATTTTCACCCTTGACCACATCAAGGGTGGCACACCCAATATGTACACAGGCAAAGTAGACCCGCAGTGCTTGAATTCAGGGAGTGGGGATGGAGCCCCACTATCTATCTTCCCTGGCTTCCTCAGTGGAACCGCAGGACACAGTTGGCTAATCACTGGACTTCAGCATTGAGTACCTTGATGACTATTTATAACAATAATCCTGCAAATGGTCACAGTACTCTCCAGTTGGCAAAGTGCTCTCATATTCACGATTGCATTCTCTCCAACCACAGGTGAGGGAGGGGGCCCTAAAACCCCTACCTGTGCTCAGACCACCCAGCACTGCCAGTGGGCTTTTCATAGGAAGCTTCCCCTGCAGATGGCCAGCCCTGGCCGGCAGTGCCTGCATCCTAGTCTCCTTGCGTTCCCAGGATCTGGCCCAGTGCTTGGTATATAATAGGTACTTAACAGTCCAATCACGTAAGAGTGCTGTTTGTAGCATTGGCTGCAGTGTTACACAAAACAAAACACCTAGAAGCAGTTTGGATCTTAATCTAGACCAAGCTTGTCCAACCCACACAGCCTGAGCATGCTGCCCAGGATGGCTTTGAACACTACCCAACAAAAATTCATAAACTTTCTTAAAATGCTATGAGATTTTTTTTTTTTTAGCACATTGGCTATTGCTCGTGTTAATGTATTTTATGTGTGGCCCAAGCTTCCGATGTGGCCCAGGAAAGCCAAAAGATTGGGCACCCCGATCTAGATTCTAGAAGTGGGTGATGGAGTAACTCAGCACATCCCACACTATGGCAATTTAGTATTAAAAGGCATTGGCCAAACACGGTGGCTCACGCCTGTAATGCCACAGCACTTTGGGAGGCCAAGGCCGGTGGATTACAAGGTCAGGAGTTTGAGACCAGCCTGGCCAATATAGTGAAACCACATCTCTACTAAAAATACAAAAAATTAGCTGGGCATGGTGGTGCACGCCTGTAGTCCCAGCTGCTGGGGAGGCTGAGTCAGGAGAATCACTTGAACCCAGGAGGTGGAGGTTGTGGTGAGCCGACACTGCACTCCAGCCTGAGCGACAAAGTGAGACTCTGTCTCAAAAAACAAGACAGCAGTATACACTCCGTAAAAACAGATAAGAGGCAGCCAGGGACCACTGACATTGGATGACTTTAAGGAATTATCATTAATAGTGTAGGTCTGGGCCAGGCTCAGTGGCTCGTCCCTGTAATCCCAGCACTTTGGGAGGCTGAGGCGGGTGGATCACTTGAGGTCAGGAGTTCTGGGCCAGGCGTTATGGTGGGCATTTGTAATCCTAGCTACTCAGGAGGCTGAGGCAGGAGAATCACTTGAACCCAGGAAGCAGAGGTGGCAGAGAGCCAAGATCTCACCATTGCATTCCAGCCTGGGCAATAAGAGTGAAACTCTGTCTCAAAAAAAAAAAAAAAAATTATAATAATGTAGGTCTGATAATGGTTTTGTGGTTATGTGTTTGAACCTGGAGGAGGACATGGGAAGGCCACACCCCAGGGGGGGGAATCAAACCAGATTATCTGGTTGGAAGGGCTGGAAGGGCATTTGAGATGGGGGCTGGAAAGCAAGAAAAAAGACGGAAGCAAAATGGCAGGCACAGATGCTGTGAAAACACAGGGCATGGAACTGTAGAAGACACCTCTTTTATGACTGCAAACAGGTAGAAACTGAATATGCAACTAGGCAAGGAGTAGACTGTGCTGTGGACACATGACAACATTGATTTGATGAGAGAAGAGGTTGTTTAGGTGAGGCAGATTTTGTCTCGGATTTCTTTATTATAAGGTAATTACTGTACTAGGATCGCCACAATGACAATAAAAGGAAAGGCTGACCATCCTCTGTGCAGATGAGGAAACTGAGGCCTGGGGAGTTGAAGCCCTTTTGAGCCAAGAGTCCTGATTCCAGGCCCAGTGTCTGGTCACAGACCAGGGTGTTCTGGGGTGAGTAAGGTGGTAACCCCACAGGGAGAGGGGGTGCCTTGAGGAAGGGCTTTCAGAAGTGCTAAGCTTCAGCCATGGAGGCAGGTCCCAGTGGGTGCCCGGCTGAGGCCCCAGGGGTGGGGTCAGAGGTGGACAGGGCTCCCAGGTGCCCTGAGCTGAGTGGATGGTGCAGGTAAAATCTTCCCCAGCCCAGCACAGCATCTCCCAGTGGGAGACCCAGTAGGAGACATGCGCTGCCTAAGGCCGGGGGCTGCTGAGAGACAGCCAAGTTTCTGCCAAAGACCAAGGGACTCTCATGGGGCAGGGCTGGCCGGGGGCTGTTGGGAAAAGACGGAGAAAGACTCACCTGGCCTCTAACCAAGAAGCCCCCTCCCAGGTCACTGGGCAGATGCCCACATGGTGCCCTCTGGGGCTATGTCCTTGTTACTTACTGGAGTTCCAGTGGTCCTGGGCATGCCTCCAGGGTGGCACAGAGGTGGGTGAGGGTCTGGGGCTCCAGAGGACACTCACTGAGGCTGCAAAGGGGTGATGGGCAAGGCAGGGAATCGGAGAAGGCCCAGGGTCCCTGGCTAGCCCCGGGGGTGCTCTCCTACCCCCAGCATCCTTCACTCTGAGTGGGAGGCGGCAGGCCCATTCCCCTGCAGGGCACTCGCTACGCTTCCAGGTCTCCCCTGCAGCCCCCATTCCTCCTGCCCTGACGGCAGCACTGCAGGACCCTGAGTGCCCAGCTGCCCTTGTTGTTGACTCTCCAACTCCTCTCCAACACCCCCTCAGAGCCCAGGCCACCATCCTTACTCACCTTGACCATTGAACACCCTCTGGGCTTCCCACTCTTGCCTCCCTGCAATCCCTCTCCACCCCACAAGTGTCTCACATTTTAACACTGCAAATCTCACCAGGCCCTTCCCCGTTACCCTCAGGGGCTCCCCACTGCCCTGGGACTAAAAGTGGAATTGAAATATCCTCCCCAGGGCCTCACTTGCCTCCACTTTCCTGGAGGCCTGGAGAGAGATGGGGCCCAGTCAGGGTCTCACAGCCCCTCATGGCAGAGCTTGTAGATGGGGAATACATTTGCGGGGAGACAGGCCAACCCCTTTCTTTCTGGAACGTGGGTGCTCCCCAGAGCAGATGGAAACCCCAGGCAGGGAGTGGCTGGGCTGCCCTGTTGGCTTCAGAGAACTGTGGAATCTTCTCTCCAAGGGGAATGAGGGGCATGGGCCAGCTGAGGTGTCCCTCAGGGGCCAGAGCCCCCCCATAACCCTCACACCCCTTTCTTTTCCTCTTCTCTTAAACTCCCTCTCTTCCCTCTATCCCAATCCCCAGCCCTAGCCCCGTGCTGGCTCTGCCACCTCTGCCACCTCACCCCATTGTGGTTACCCCCAAACAAGAAGTGCTGGGACAGTACCAGAGGCTCCTGGGGATGCAGCGCCGACGGAACCCCAAGAACTCAGCTGCAGCTGGAAGGTCTGGCAAAGGTTCACTGGTCCATATACCCCTAGGACAGGGATCATTTAGAAAGTTCAGGTCACACCCTCAGATTCCCAGCCCAGCCCATATGAGCCCTAGGAGGGGGATCATTTAGAAAGGAAACTTCGGATCACCCACATTGGACTCCCAGACTTGGAAAGTCAGGGCTGGAAGGCATCTTAGAGACTATGAAGTCACTAGATCCTAGGTCAGTCCCTCATTGTTCAGGTGAGGAAACTGAGGCTCAGGGAAGGGAAGCTCGAGTTAGAAAAGCCGGCAGCTTGTCCCTGTCCAGGTGGGCAGGCAGGAGGGTCCAGGACAGAGCCTCTCTGACCACTGCTTGGCATCACGTGACTTCTGTCTCCCTGTACATCAGTTCTTTGAGCTTCGAGAACCCGGGGGGTTCCCCAGAAACAGAGATTCTATCCTGGGAAGCAAGACCACCCAGCCTTGATCCACCCCTGACTCCTGACAGCCCACCTGTATGACAACGCCTTTCCTTGACACATTAGCTGTGGATTCTCTCTGCTCAGCCAGCTGTACTGAGGCCCGCCCTGTCCGCTGCCACAGCTCCCAAGCGGGGCGAAGAGGCCCGGTCCCATTAGAGGGCAGCCGGGAACATCATGAAGAGCTAAACTAGTATTGGGTGTTTACCTCGGAGACTTGGAACTTTTTTTTCAGAGAACAAGGGGCCCTGCCTTCAGAGCGTGAAAGGGCAGTGACATGTATGAAGGGGTGAGCCTACAAAATTCCCCAAAAGGCAGAGCACAAACGAAACGTTCTCCGGTCTCCTCCCGTACAGCAGCAATCTGCAGTCACCTGTCTGCTCTGGTACCTCCTCCAACCAAATCCCTCCCTCCCATTTCCATTGCCTCCTTCCAAGGGGAAAACAGGGCAGTTGATTACTGACAATTTACATGGGGGCAGTGGTTACTGCAGTGGTGATTACACCTAGTGTGTTGGACCAGGGTGGTTTAACCAAGGGCTGAGTGATCAGTATGGGTCTAGGGGTGGGGGGAAACCAGAGCAGGAGGGGATTCCCCAACCCCAAGCATTCCCTTCTCACCTGCCTGTCTTGTCCCCTCTCAGGAGGATGCGCTGCCTCTCAAAGCTGGAAGCAGAGAGGAGGCAGCAGTTTGAAAATGGGCAACTTCCTTGGCAGTGGCAAGAACCCAGACTGGCCAGGGCAAGGAGGGCCTGGGGTGGGCTGCTTTCTCAGCAAACAAGGAATAGATTACACAACAATTACATGCACCAAGTCACGTGCAAAGCACACTACCGACATTTCTCATTTGATTCTCACAATAAAACAATGAGTTAAGAAATTCTGCTTTGTTGTTGTATTTAAGACAGGGTCTCGCTCTGTCACCCAGGCTGGAGTGCAGTGGCGCAGTCATGGCTCGCTGAAGCCCCAGCCTACCCGGGCTCAATTGATCCTATTGCCTCAGCCTCCTAACTAGATGGGACCACAGGCACGCCCCGCCATGACTGGCTAATTTTGTGTTTTTTGTAGAAATGGAATTTTGCCATGTTGACTAGGCTGGTCTCAAACTCTGGGTCTCAAATGATCCTCCTGCCTTAGCCTCCCAAAGTGCTGGAATTATAGATGTGAGCCATTGTGCCTGGGATTTTTTTTTACCACCCAGGCTGGAGCGCAATCGTGTGATCACAAGTCACTGGAACCTTGATCTCCTGGGCCTAAGCAATCGTCCCACCTCAGCCTCCCAAGTAGGTGCATGCCATCATGCTTGGTTAATTTTTAAAGTTTCTGTAGAAATGGGGGCTCTAACTATGTTGTCCAGGCTGGTCTTGAACTCCTAGGCTCAAGTGATCCTCCTGCCTTGGCCTCCCAAATGCTGGAATTACAGGCGTGAGCCATTGTGCCAGGCCAGTAATTCTTCTTTTTATTATTTTTTTGAGATGGAGTTTCGCTCTTGTTACCCAGGCTGGAGTGCAATGGCGCGATCTTGGCTCACTGCAACCTCCGCCTCCTGGGTTCAGGCAATTCTCCTGCCTCAGCCTCCTGAGTAGCTGGGATTACAGGCACGCGCCACCATGCCCAGCTAATTTTTTGTATTTTTAGTAGAGATGGGGTTTCACCATGTTGACCAGGATGGTCTCGATCTCTTGACCTCGTGATCCACCCGCCTCGGCCTCCCAAAGTGCTGGGATTACAGGCGTGAGCCACCGCGCCCAGCTCCAGGCCAGTAATTATTCTTATCTCCATTTTACAGATGAGGAAACTGAGGCTTGGAGAGGCTCCTGGACCTGCTCTGAGCTGTGCAGCAGGTATGTAACTGAGCCTGGTCCATCGGCTCTGGCACTTCCCATTCTTGGGGGTCCTCAGGGAAGGGAGGCAGACCTCCCCAAAAACTATGGATGTTGTGCCCTGAGTGCCTGAGGTTGCTTGGCTGGCTGGTGTCTCCCTTTCTATATTCTCATCAGCTCCCAAAATTAAGACAGATCCCTGAGTCCCTAGTGGCTGCTAGGAAGTTTGCAGTTTCCTTGTTTTTTGAGATGGAGTCTTACTCTGTCATCCAGGCTGATGTGCAGTGGCACGATCTCAGCTCACTGCAATCTCTGTCTCCTGGGTTCAAGCGATTCTCCTGCCTCCTGAGTAGCTGGGACTACAGGGGCCCACCACCATGCCTGACTAAATGTTTTGTATTTTTACTAGAAACAGGGTTCACCATGTTGGCCAGACTGGGTTCGAACTCCTGATCTCAAGTGATCCGCCCACCTCGGCCTCCCAAAATGCTGGGATTACAGGCATGAGCCACCAAGCATGGCCCCTAATTTTCTTAAAAGTCTCTGAGGACAATCCAAAGAACGAGTGAGGCAGAGTCAATGAACTCTCTAATGGTGAATTTGGAGAAATTTGAGCATCCTTGAGGCCACACTCATTCATTCATTCCATCATTCCTTCACTCAGTGGACACCCATCACATGCTCTCTGGATCGGGTAGCCCAAGGTGCTGAGGATGATAGGTCGTTGTGAACTTGATGAATAAAGGGCCAATGTGGGAGTGGATGGCCTGTGGGATGGGGGACGGGGCAGGGCTGGGGGCGGAGAGGCATGCTCACCTGATGTCCAAGTGGAAGACCCACTGCAGAGTGGAGAAGCACCGAGTCAAACCCAACACAGCATCCAGGGACAAACCGTTCTCACTGAGGCTGGAGATCACAGGAATGGTACAGTGGAGGTCACTGAGGACCCAACACATCCTCTTTGTGGTCAGGGCACAGGGCAGGGGAGGGATCCCTGGTTCCAGATGACAGAACCCACTGAACCCTAGATGGTCAGAGAGTACCCCTTACAAGTCCTCAGGGTGCACATGGGGAAACAGAGGCCCAGAGAGAAGCAAAGTCTCGCCAAGGTTATGAGACAGGTTGGTGACAGAGCTGAGATGGGAATCCAGTGGCTCCCTTGGTCTGTGATGGATCTGAGAAGTACTTTCTGGCCGGAGCTGGGCCTCCATTTGCCCACCTGATAAGGGAGGGGCAGCACCCAGTACAAAATGAAAGTGTGGGATCTCTTGTTCAGAAAGCAGGAACAAAGTGTCTCCTTTCTTTCAGGGTCTCCCTAACAACTTGTCCTTGTTTTCTATTTACTCTTTAGTGCTGCACTTCCTTCCTAGGAGGCCACTGGTAGGGCGAGCGCGGACCCTCACAAGCACCAGGTCACCCATGAGTCCACACTAATAAGAAGGTCATATGAGGACATGAAAAGCCTCCAGTCTTCCCATAATTTGCCTGCAATGGTGAGGCCTTCCTTCCCTCCCAGGTGCAGGCCCTGAACAGGAATAAAGGCAACGCCCTTCCTTGCCAGCATTGCACCCAAAGAGGGTTGGAGGGTGGGGCATAGGCCACAGCACTCATTCAGAGACTGCAGCCACCAGCAGAGGCCACGCCTGCAGTTTATGTGTTTACTGACTGGGAACCAGGGACTCAGAGAGGGGATGTAACTTGCCAAAGTCACACGGCAGAGTGTGTGTCATAGAGCCAGCCTGGAATATAAGACCTGTGACCTCTCCCTGGGGCTCCTCTGGCTTTGACCCAGAAAAGCTTGGAAGGAGGGAGCGCTTTGTGAGCCAAAACACCAGTGGTATTTAGGGATCAAGAACTCTGGTCTGGGCCTGGCGCCGTGGCTCAAGCCTGTAATCCCAATACTTTGGGAGGCTGAGGTAGGCGGATCACGAGGTCGAGAGATCAAGATCATCCTGGCCAACATGGTGCAACCCCGTCTCTACTAAAAATACAAACATTAGCTGGATGTAGTGGCATTCGCCTATAGTCCCAGCTACTTGGGAGGCTGAGGCAGGAGAATTGCTTGAACCTGGGAGGCAGAGGTTGCAGTGAGCCGAGATCGCGCCACTGCACTCCAGCCTGGGTGACAGAGCAAAACTCCACCCCTCCACCAAAAAAAAAAAAAAAAAAAAAAAAAGTTGCAGGCAAACTTTAGGGATTCCTCCCACAGCCTCTCTGCTAGGTACTCAGGGCTCCTTGGCAGCCCTGGCCACCCTCCTTGAGCGTCCTCGCTGTACAAACCCTCCCTCCCTACCCGGCGCATACCCCAGCTAACAGCTGCAGCCCCTCCCACACCCCAGGGCCAGAATAACGGCTGCCAGCCATTAATTAGTCATACTTCGCACCCACACCTGCCCTCCCCAGGGTGGCTGGGGCCCTTAGAGAGCCTGTGCAGAGCTGCAGAGACCGATTCCAGAAGTGAAACCCTGAATCACAAGTGGAATTATTGAGTCACAGACTCTAAGAATCACCTAACAGCCTTCAGCGAGCACTTCCATTGTGTTGGGGGCGATTTTCATGCATTTTCTGATTTAATCTTTACAATAACCCCAGGAAGGAGGGGAATGGGACAGAGAACGCTCCCCCAGCCCCAGCCTCAGAGGCTCTGCCTAGCAGGCTACTCACTTCAAGGACTGCAGAGCTCCCAGCTCCGGGAGCAGCTGAGCCAGCCGGGCTGCACCTTCATCCCCTAGAGCATTGCCTGAGAAGCTGGAGGTGGGGAGAAGGGAGGAGAAAGCATCAGTAGTGGGGACTCGGTTGCTGGCAGCATGGTCCCTGCATTCCAGTTACTCAACTTCCTGAAGCTGGACGCAGCCCCGGCCTGCCAGGTCAGATCTCAGCAGATCTTTTGTGGGCAGTTGGGATCTCCCCAGGGGTCTTATTCTGAGGTTCACGGACCTCCAGGGGACCAGGGGTGAGCCTGTGTCAGTGTGTCAGACCAGTGTGTCAGACATGGGGGATCTGTATTTTGGGAGGAAGAGTCACAACTTTCACCAGATTCTCCAAGGGGTTTTTGACTTCAGTAGAGAAAGAACAGTTGATCTAAATCTTAAAAACCAAAGCCAGGCCGGGCACAGTGGCTCACACCTGTAATCCCAGCACTTCAGGAAGCCAAGGTGGGTGGATCACCTGAAGTCAGGAGTCCGAGACCAGCCTGGCCAACACGGCGAAACTCTGTCTCTACTAAAAATACAAAAATTCGCCGAGTGTGGTGGCGGGTGCCTGTAATCCCAGCTACTTGGGAGGCTAAGGCAGGAGAATCGCTTGAACCCGGGAGGCGGAGGTTGCAGTGAGCAGAGATCGAGCCACTGCACTCCAGCCTGGGTGACAAGAGTGAAACTCCATCTTAAAAAAAAAAAAAAAAAAAGCAAAAGAAAACCCAAACACCAAACACTAACTCACCCTAATTGGCTCCACCCACCCACGTTCCAAGGTACAAACCACTCACTCGAGGTGGAGGTGACCAAGGTGGCAGCTTCCTCCCAGAGCCTTGCAGAGCTGCTCCAGGTGCTTTGCTTGGAGGCCACAATGTGTCAGCCTGCCCAGGGGCAAAACCACAGCCTGCAGTGCCTGCCCCGCTGAGCAGAGGTGGGAAGGAGCTGCTTTCCCACCCACCAGACACAGAGGCAGAGAGGAAGGACTGGGATGCATCTGGCACCCAGACAGACAGACAAAGAGGGACCAACACATACCACACCCATAGGATGTCACACATAGGCAGAGAGTGAGCAGACACACAGACGGAAGGAAAGCAAGATCCAGAGAGACATAGAGAGCATCAGAGGAGGACAGATAAACAGAAATAAATACAAGACGAGAGAGGCAAGAAATGAGAGACAGAGGCAGAGGGACAGAGGGAGACTGGGACAGACACAGACCAGGAGAGAAGGCGAGAAGAGTGCTGATGGGAGCCCCCAGGCCCCGGGATCGTGAGAGAAGGAGCCCAGTGCTCCTCGTCATCTCTTTTCAGAGTCCCCACAACCTCTCAGCTGCGGGGGGTCAGGGAGCTAAGGGAATTGGGGTCCCCTGGGCTTGGGAAGGTGGTTGAGGGGGCTGCATTGTAAGCCCTGTCCAGTGTGGGCTGAGCAGGAGAGTTAGGAGACAGGAAAGCCAGGCCATGACCCCTGGACACAGAGGATCAGGTGTCCTCCAGGGAGCATGTGGGGCCTGGGCACAGGTTCCGGAGCAGGCTCTGAGCAGGGGAAGGGAGGGGACTGGAATCACACATGGGGCTGGAGGCCATCACTGTACCTCATCCTTCGGGAGCTCAGAGGCAGCTCAGAGGGCATCTGGAGCATGAGGCTGTCAAGAGATGCAGCCCTGGAAGGACATCGCCAAGGCCAGGCTGAGCAAAGCCTGTGTCCGCCATCTCCAGAGTCCATCCTCAGCCTGGCCTTCCACCAACGAGCCCTACATTCCACCTAGAGTCAATCAGACCTTGGTGCCAATTTGGCATCTCCGCTTCCAGGTTGTGTGATCCTGGACAAATCAGAGCTTCTCACTGGGAGACTGTACGTGAACTGCCTTACTTTGGTGCTTGGTTCACACATGGCAAGTGCTCGATTAAACTTGGCTGCTATTATCATCAATCTCATCCTCCTGCTCATCTGTGCTTCAGAGATGTCAGCCCCAGCTCTAATGGAGCCTTCAATAGTTCAGACTCTACAAAAGAGTTTGTGGGTGGGCTCCAGGAGCAAATAGCTGAGCCCATGGCTGGGGCAATCCAGGACCCTCATGGGTCCTTGTGCAAAAGGGATCCAAAAGTTATGACCCCCCCCCCAAGCCCAGAGCTACAGGCCAGGCAATCCTCTGGGTTTAGACTGGAGGGCACCAGTCTTCTGGTATCCCCCTCCAGCTACCCCACTCCTGGGCATGCTGCCTATATCCTACACCCTGGGGCTCCCTTCAGGCACCATAGGAGGCAGAGGTGGTCTGATTTTGGACCTGCTTCCTTTGGGGATGTATCCTTTGCCAAGCCTGCTCACTTCCCACTCTGCCACAAATTTATCCAGGTCACCCTGGTATTTGACTGGCACTGCCGAGCTGTGGAGGGTAGAGAGGGGAATGTCTCCGACCGAGCATGGAGTTGGGGTGATATTGGGGACCCTACCTGTTCTGGGGCCCCTCCTGCTGCTCTGGGTCCTGGGCAAACATGAAGACTACAGTTTTCTGCAGCAGGCTGTGAAGAGAAAAGAAGGGTGAGAACTCGAGAGGTTATGGGCTCCCCTGCTGCTCTGTGTCAGTTTCTTTTTGAGACAGGGTCTCACTCTGTTATCCAAGCTGGAGCGCAGTGGCACAGTCATGGCTCACTGGAAAGCCTCCACCTCCTGGGCTCAAGCAATGCTCCCTTTTCAGCCTCTGAGCAGCTGGGACTACAGGCTTGCACCATCATGCCCAGCTAATTAAAAATATATATATTTTTTGTAGAGACAGAGTCTATGTTGCCTAGTCTGATCTTGAACTTCTGGGCTCAAGTGATCCTCCCACCTTGTCTTCTTAAAGTGCTGGGATGACAGGCATGAGCCACTGTGCTGGGCCTGTCATTTTTTACCCCTGGCCGGCGGGGACCTCTCAAGTGCCATTCCCCTGCCTCCAGCGGCAGCCACTTCTTCTGACTCGCCTCTGACTTCCTGTGAGCTTTCCGAGGCCTGAAATTTTTCTACCACAGATATTTCATAAATGTATCTATTGCCTAAGCAACCCCCATTTCCTGGCAAGTCTTGAAAGAAAGCAAATTCTGTGCTCTCTTTTAGGCCAAGGCTGAGCCCTACCCGCTTCTGCTGGTGGGTGCTCTCTCTGTTCTCAAAGTATTTGTGGATTACCCCTGGTAACCTCTGAAGGGGGTCCTTTGAACCTTCCATTTTCTAGTGTGATAGTTTTTCTCTTACAAAGATGGAACATTAGTTTATTTAAGGGCTAGAAGCAGGGTGACAAGTAATATTAAAACTTGATTATTATTGATGGGAACAGATTATACCATGCTTTTTTTTTTTTTTTTTAATCTGAGAGAGAATCTTTCTCTGTCTCCCAGGCTAGAGTGCAGTGGTGTGATCTCGGCTCACTGCAACCTCCACCTCCTGGGTTTCAGTGATTCTCCTACCTCAGCCTCCCAAGTAGCTGGTATTACAGGCATGCGCCACCACACCCAATTAGTTTTTGTATTTTTAGTAGAGATAGAGTTTCACCTCGTTGGCCAGGCTAGTCTTGAACTCCTGACTTTAGGTGATCCACCCACCTCAGCCTCCCAAAATGCTGGGATTATAGACGTGAGCCACCATGCGTGGCCCAGATTATTATATCATTCTTTCTGCCACTGAGTATCTTGAAAAGCTTTATTATAATCTTTTTTTTTTTTTTTTTTTGAAATGGAGTTTCACTTTTGTTGCCCAGGCTGGAGTACAATGGTGTGATCTCAGCTCATGGCAACCTCTGCCTCCCGAGATTCAGTGATTCTCCTGCCTCAGCCTCTCAAGTAGCTGGGATTACAGGCATGTGGCACCATGCCTGGCTAATTTTGTATATTTAGTAGAGATGGAGTTTCTCCATATTGGTCAGGCTGGTCTTGAACTCCTGACCTCAGGTGATCTGCCCACCTCAGCCTCCCAAAGTGCTGAGATTACAGGCATGAGCCACAGTGCCCAGTCATTATCATCTTTTAAGATGATGAGTTAAAATTTTTATGTTTGGCCCATTATGGTTGCTCAGACCCATAATCCTAACGATTTGGGAGGCCAGGGCAAGAGGCTCACTTGAGCTCAGGAGTTTGAGAACAGCCTGGACAACTTAGCAAGACTTTGTCTCTATAAAAACTTAAAAAAATTGCCAGGGACAGTGACTTATGACTGTAAGTCATGACTAATGACTGTAAGACACAACTCATGTCTCCCAGGACTTTGGGAGACTGAAAGAGGTGGATTGCTGAGCCGAGGATTTGGAGGTCACAGTGAGCTATGATTGTGTCACTGCACTCCAGCCTTGATAACAGAGCAAGAGCCTGTCTCTAAAAAGAATTTCTTTATGTTTACTTTATAAACCCCCATCACACCTCTATATTAAAACTGCATCTATATTATCGTTTTATCCAAGGTTCCATTGAGTTTTCTCTGGAAGCAACTTAGTCTAACTAATATCTTACGGTTAAACGTTTCAGTTATTTTCAGTTTTTTCCTGTTATAACCAATAGTGAGGTGACCTTATGGCTAAATGTGCTTGCACAGTTGTAAGGATTTATTTAGTATATGTTCCTGGCAGTGAACAGGGCATCACTTGGAATCCACTAGGGACCCTTTATTGAATCATCATGTACAGTGAACCAAGGTCTCCTAATCTAGCTCGTGGGTGAATTGGTTTCCCTCTCCTCCCTTGAGGGGTGTTTAAAGCAGGGACCACCCTATTCAGTTGAGAACGAGGCTTTCCTCCAAGTGGGAACTGTGTTCACATTAATCAGCATCTGTCCTCAGCTCCCCATACTTAACAGTGAGATTTACAGAAATAGAACTGGGTTCCCAAGTGGCAGAGCCTGGGTCTGTGAGGGGCGTTGGGGGTCGCATGTCACTTGGTCACTTGTGCACATCATGGACTGACGGTCTGCTCTCAGGAAAAATAGTACGGGACTGAGGGTAACCAAATGGAGCAGGTCCTGGTCCCCCAGGGAGCTCTGTCCCACTGGAGGCAAGGGGGCCGGAGAGTTGTATTCTCTGCCTCTGTCATTGGCCACTCCAGGGGAGGGGGAAAGTGAGGGTTGTACCCTCCCAGGCATCTCTGGTTTTCATCAGCCAAGGGCAGTTCTCCAGAGGAGGTATAAGCTGTGAGCAGCCCATACCCGCAGCAGCTGGGAAGAGGGGTACCAGCTGTAATGGGTCTGGGAGGGACAGCAGCAGCATCTTCTGCCAGTCCCAAGGCCTGGGCCCAGAAAGAATTCCAAGGGCTTTAGAGAGAGCATGATGGTGGGGGTGGGTACCATAGTCTGGGGGAGCTCCTACCTGATGTGCAGCTCTGCCAGGGTCCAGCATGCACGCACGGCCCTCAGCACACAATGCACCCCGGCCGCAGAGAGCCCGTTGTCGCTGAGGCTGTGGAGAGCAGAAGGCAGCCATCGGCATGTGGCTGAGGTCCCCATCCCCAGCCAGCTCTAGCCCTTCCTCATGGCTCAGCAGCTTGCTGGCTGTCACTCCTGGATGTCCTGGGTCCCTTGCCAGGGGACCTCAAAGGATTCTGGTGCATATGGGGAACCAAGAAATGCATGACACCTCCCACCCTACTCAGAGAATAAAGTTGTCCAGCTTGACAGCGGGAACTCAGTATTTTCACCTCTCTAACACTCAGTTTCTGATCCATAAAATAGCCACCATTTGCTGAGCCCTGACTGTAACAGATTCTGTACAAAAGGCTTTATATACATATGGTTTCATGTAATCCCATTTTACAGAGGGGGAAACTAAGGCTCAGAGACATTCAATTACTTTCCCAGGGTCACAAAGCTAATGAGCGACAGAGCCAGGATTGAAATCCAAAGCCCAGGTCCCACACGACTGCTACCCAACCTCAACACTCCCCAACCTCAACCTATACTTGATCCTAAGACCCCCAAGACACCCCACCCAAACACCAACCCCACCCCATGCAACACCACAGCACATCCAGCAGCCCAATAGCCTTCCTTTCTATCTCACCACCCCTCACCCCAACACCGTGCCCCCACCGGAACACACCACTCCCTACCCCAGCACCCCAGCATGCATCCACCTGACGCCTCCCCAGTGCGACGCTCCACCCCACCCTGCTCCAGGGCTGCTACAAAGATGAACTGGACAGCAAGACACTGATGTATAATGAACACGTTTTATACATGTGAGGGTGCTAAATAATTGGACTAAGACCATGGCTCATGCCAGAGGTGAAGGCAAAGCATGGTTGAACCATCTCGACTTTGCTGAAGTTGGGCAGAAGCAGGGATGGCAGTGGGCCAGCACCCTTACTGCTGACTGTGAACACAGGGACCACCCGGGGCTCTCCAAGGCCTTCCCTCGTACCCAGCGGTGGGATGGACAACTCACTCCAGCTTCTTGGTGATGTGCAGCTGGGATACAGCCTCTGCCATCAGCTGACAGCCTTCGTCTTCCAGCTGGTTCCCTGAGAGGCTGAAACAGAGGGGCCCGATGCCCTGTATTGTGGGGCTAGAGTCCTCCCTCTATCCCCAGCACTTACGCATCCTTCACTGACTTTAGTCAAAGCATCACTCTCAGGAATGAACCTTGATAATAACTAAAATTGACAGACTGCATACCACATACCTGGCAACATCCTAGGTGCTTCTACGACTATCGGCCTGTTTCATCCTCATGGTACCTGTGACGTAGGCACTCTAATTCTCCTCACCTTACTGATGAGTAAACTGAGCGCAGAGTGGTTAAGGCACTTGCTCGAGGGTGAACCTGGATTTGAACCCAGGCGGCCTGTCTTCAAGGCCTTACCCTCAACTCTTCCTTTATACCGCAAGCTACGTAATTGTTTTTAGTGATAACCTTTATGATTATGGGGGCATCTGACCTAGTCTGGGAGTCAAGGGTGGCTTCTTTGATGCTTGAGCTACTTGCTAGAAGAACTAGGAGTTCAGTAGGTACAAGGTGGGAGACAGAGATGGAGGAAGGGTGTCCCTGGTAGTAGAAGCAGTACATTCAAAGGCCCTGTGGCATAACACATACGAGGACCTGAAAGAGAGCCAGTGTGTCTGGATTAGAGATTGAGTAGAAGGATGGGGTCAGATGGGGCTTGGGAGGCTGGGGGCTGGGTTCTTAGACTGTGGGCTTTATCCTGAGCTGCGGGTAGGAGTGAAGGGGGCAGGTATCAGTGAAACGTAATCTATTCTCTGCCAGGTGGAAGTGGCCAGGGTGAAAGCAGGGAAACCAGCCAGGAGTGAGGCGAGGGGCTCGTCCAGGTAAGAGATGAGAGTGAGTTGGATTAGAAAGGTGGAGGAAAAGAGGATATTTTTGAGCGCTACCAGTTGGTCCATCTGGAGGGACTAAATGTGAGAGAAGGGCAAGGGGGCTGGGAAGTGGCTGTGTAAGAAGGTGGGTGATGGGGCTGCTTCTGCAGGTGATGGCAGTGGGGGAGGGGCATGCTCAGTGCTGGTGAGGCAGGTGGAAGTGTGTGAGCTTGTTAAAAACCACCTTCTAATTCCGTCCTGGTTCTCCCAATGAGAGGAGGTCCAGGATCAAGAGGCGATCACCACGGCAACCCTCACCCCATCTGTCTTACCCTGAGGTGGGGCCACTCGCCCCAGAACACATCATGGCATTCCATCCTCTGCCTTCATGTCCACTTGGAGGTTTCCTAGAGAGGCACCCCTCCTAGGGACATGACAGAGCCTCCATCCATCCCCAAGCCCTACTCTCATCAGCTCCGGCTACGAGCTGGACATCATGGGACTTTCTCCATTCCCAAAAGAGAGGATTATCCCACTCTACTCCGGGAGAAGGATGGAGGGTTTGTGGGGGAACCCTGAGGGGCTGTGGTTTGGAAGGCAGAGCCAAGTGTGGTGGGGTTTCTACTGAGCAGATCTCAACAAGAGAGGTAACGGTGGTTATGAGGATGGGGCTGGGAGCCGGACTGTCTGGGCTTGACCCCTAGCCTAGTCTCTTCCTACCTGTGTGGCCTTGAGCACGTTTATCTTTCTGTAGCTTAACTTCCTCCTCCATAAAATGTGGACAGTAACAGTGCTTACATCAGATGTGAGAGTGAATGAGAGGGGGCATGTACAGCCCTAGCACAGCACCCCACCCAGGACAAGTGCTGAAGAGTAGCAGCTATTATGATGATTTGATTCCCCCAAATTCTTCATGAGGCAGCATGGCCCTCCCCACCACCAACCCACCCAAAGGCGAGGCCCTGCCCACCCTCTCCAACCTCCTTTCCTGGCTCCTACCCAGGGCTTCCCGTGATACTCACTCTACTTCCTCCAGGTGGGGGCCTTCCCGGAGCAGGGCTATGAGGGTCTCTGCATCGTGGACCTGGAGCTGACACTTCTGAAGCCTTGGGTAGGAGTGGGGGACAGAAGGGCTCAGGGCAGATGGCTACCCCGTACCTCCTCCAGCTTCCAGGGCTGGGGGAGTCAGGAGGCCCACAGACCTGGGTATAATTCTGGCCACACCTCTTAGTACCTGACTGATCTTGAGCAAGGAACTTAACCTGAGACTCCGTTTCCTCCTCTCTCAAAGGGGGATAATAATGTGTACTTCACAGGAATTCTAAAGGAATTACAGTGAGATATTGGACATAAAACTAGCACAATGCCCAGCATGTATAGCCAGGGTCCATTAAGTTGTAGCCATTGTTATTATGACAGACGCTCCTTATTCATGCCAGAATGGGCTATCCAGGATGGGCACCACACCCGGCGAATCCTTTCCCTGTCCCTTATCTGCTTTTCCCTTTATCCCTTCTGCCGCTGCTCTCCCGCCCCTGAGCCTTTTCCCCACATCATATCCCTCTCCTAAGGCAATAGATCCCTCCAAGGTACCTGAGTGTCAGGCTTCTGCTCTGAGCCTCTTTCCTCTGGCCATCACTTTCCTGCAGGTCTGGAGCTCTGGCAAGAACAAATCAAACATTGGCCTGGGCTCAGGCATCCAGGGCCTGGCAGATCGAGCTTCTTTCCTTGGCTTCTAGAGGCTGAAGACCCTGAAGCACAACCCACAGTGAGTCCGTAACAAAGAATATTGCTTGCAGGTGCTCAAGTTGTGATTCAGTGGAGCAGCAGGGGCAAAAGGTTTGAGGTCAAATGGAACCTTTCTTCATGTTTTGGCTCTGCCATGCATAGCCATATGGCCCTGGGCAAGTCACTGAGTCAGCTCCCTTGTCTCTTTTCTAAATGAGATGAAAACATCTAACACATAGGTTCCTGAAGGATTGAATGAGACAACGTATGCCCAAGTACCCAGCATAGGTGTAAAATCGAAGCCTAGTAAACAGAAGCTGCTATTGTCAATGATATGATGGTCTCCACTTGTGGATGTGCTGTCTGTGGTTCAGAAGGCAAGGAGCATGAGCTATATTCAGTGAGTCCAGGCTATGGTAAACCACAGACTCTCTCCCACTGGGCCAGGGAAGTATGAGGGGATGCAGGGAAGCTAGGACATTATGAGCCAGGTTTCACAGACTGTTTAGCCTGGTGCTAATCATTTTTTTTTCTTTTAGGGACAGGGTCCCACTCAGTCACCCAGGCTGGAGTGCGGTGGGTCTATTCTAGTTAACTGCAGCCCCAAGCTCCTGAGTTCAAGTAATCCTCCCACCTTAGCCTCCTGAGTAACTGGTACTATAGGAGGGAACCACAATACCCAGCTATTTTTTTTATAGAGATGGGCATCTCACTTTGTTTCCCAGGCTGTTCTTGAACTCCTGGCTTCAAGCGATCCTGCCCACTCAGCCTCTCAAAGTGCTGGGGTTACAGACATAAGCCATCATTCCCAGCCTGTCTAATAGAACTTTCTGCAATGATGGAAATGTTCTGGCATCTGTGCCATTCACTATGGGAGCTAGTAGCCACCTATGGCCATTGAGCAGCTGAAGTATAGCTAATGTGACTAATGAATTGAAAATTATAATTTACTTAATTTTAATTTATTTAAATTTAAATAGTCATATGGGGCTAGTGGCTATCCTAATGAGCATCACAGCTTTAAGCAGTTGGAGGGGAAAGTGACATTGGTTCTAGTGGGTCATTTTTGAGACAGAGTCTCACTCTGTCATCCAGACTGGGTACAGTGGTGTGATCATGGCTCACTGCAGCCTCAACCTCCCAGGCTCAAGTGATCCTCCCAACCTCAGCATCCTGAGTAGCTGGGACGACAGGCGTGCACCATCATGCCTGGCTAATTTTTTTTAAGATGGGGTCTTGCTATGTTGCCCAGGCTGGTCTTGAACTCTTGGACACAAGAGATCCTCCTGCCTTGGCGTCCCAAAATACTAGGATTACAGATGTGAGCCACTACATCCAGCAACGTTGGTCCTACCTTTCCAGGTCATTATACAGGCAAGGAAATTGAGACCCAGAGAAGAGAAAGAGATTGCTCAGGGGCATACATCCATCTGTCTTCCAGTCTTGGCCAGGGAGAGCAAGTATCGGGGAGGACAGCTGGGGTAGTCTTTCAGGGAAAAGCAGCTTCCTTTTCTTGGCCTGTCCAAGATGGCCAAGCTGGAATTCATGCACAGTTGGAATGTCCAGCATTTGAGTGCCCACTGCATACCAGCAGGGCTCTAAACTCCTCAAGTGTAGTCACTCATTTAATTCTCAGAACAACCTTAAGACGTAGGTACCATAATTGCTCTCTCTTCCTTTTTTCAGTTGTAAGGGTTTTCCCAGAGTTTTCACCATCTAGTAATGCCAGTCTAACAGTGTCCTTCCCAAGGGTCTGCCTTCCTCTGAGACTTCTGGGGATGCTTCCTTCCACAGGAGCCAGAAGTGGTCTGGACATGCCAGAGGAAGTTAAAAATCCTTTACCAACCTAAGCATTAATTCATTCCTCAGTGCAGCAGTAGCAGGAAGAATCCCCATATTCCAGCTCTTCCTAGTCTCTTGGTCACCTTTCCCCTCATCCACCTGAACCCAAGTTGCTTCTAAGGATAGGCCCAGATCCACCGCCTCTTGGCTTCTTACCTTTGTAGTTCTGCAGTTGTCTCCATGGGTGGGGAAAGAAGGAAGATGAGGTCTGCCTCCCTGCAGGGTCAGATACCAAGCCATGAACCCGGGACTGGAAACCAGCACATCACCCCCCACAGGCACATCCTTTTCTGCCCCAAATGTCCAAACATCCAGATAAAAGCTGATTTTGCAATTGACAGAAAAACATAACAGAACTGGCAAAAGTGCTTCCAATCAGGCATGTAAAATCCTGATTATGTCTTTGTTTGATGAATCCTGCAAGAGTGTTTTAAAAAGTCAGAGAAGCTGGGTGCGGTGGCTCAAGCCTGTAATCCCAGCACTTTGGGAGGCTGAGGTGGGCGGATCATGAGGTCAAGAGATCGAGACCATCCTGGTCAACATGGTGAAACCCCGTCTCTACTAAAAATACAAAAAATTAGCTGGGCATGGTGGCACGTGCCTGTAATCCCAGCTGCACAGGAGGCTGAGGCAGGAGAATTGCCTGAACCCAGGAGGCGGAGGTTGCAGAGAGCCGAGATCGCGCCATTGCACTCCAGCCTGGGTAACGAGCGAAACTCCATCTCAAAAAAAAAAAAAAAAAAAAAGTCAGAGAAACAATTTTCACAAAAAATATAAAAATTATGAATACTGTGAGGTTTTTTTCCCCTTTCTTTTTAAATTTGAGGTAGACATGTCACTCTGTTACTCAGGCTGTAGTGCAGTGGTGTGTTCATACCTCTCTACAGCCTCAACCTCCAGGGCTCAAGCAATCCTCCCACCTCAGCCTTCCAAGTCGCTGGAAATACAGGAATGCACCACCACGTCCCACTAATTTTGCTCATTTTTTGTAGAGACTATGTTGCCCAGGTTGGTCTCAAACTCCTGAGCTCAAGTAATCCTCTTGCCTTGGCCTTCCAATGTGTTTGAATTACAGGCATAAGTCACTGAGGCCAGCTGATTACTTTTTCTTTTTTAGATGGAGTCTCGCTCTGTTGCCAGGCTGGAGTGTAGTGGCGCAATCTTGGCTTACTGTAACTTCTGCCTCCCGGGTTCAAGCAATTCTCCTGCCTCAACCGCCCGAGTAGCTGGGACTATAGGCGTGCGCCACCATGCCCAGTTAATTTTTGTATTTTTAGTAGAAACAGGGTTTAACCACATTAGCCAGGATGGTCTTGATCTCTTGACCTCGTGATCTGCACGCCTTGGCCTCCCAAAGTGCTGGGATTATAGGTGTGAGCCACCATGCCCGGCCGAATTTTTTTTTAAATAGAAATTTTTATAATTGAGAAACATGACACCTAACCCACCCCATGATCCCACCTGGCAATATTGGTTCAGCACCATGGAGAGCGACACGCGGCTAATCATTCCTTCAGCTATGCCTGTTTCCTAAACTTGTTGACTTATTCCTTCATCCACCCACCCACCCATTCATCCATCCCATCTTTTCATCCACTCATCATCTTTTCATCCACCCCATCTTCTCAGCCACCCATTTATCCATCGATCCATCAATCCAATCATCCATCCATCTCCATCCACCTTTTCATTCATTCATTAATTCAATATATATCAAGTACCAGGTGCCAAGTCTGAGCTAGGTTCTGAAGGTAGAGTTGTGAAAGTAGAGTTGTGAGTAAAACAGTAGGGTACACAAAGATTGATCTTGCAGATGAGGGGCCTCCTCTATTTCCCATCCCACTTTCCCCTCCCCTTTTCTCAAGGCCCTAAAGGCCAAGATCCCCTTCCTTCGGCTCACCTGGCCTGCAGCATGCTGATGGTAGGACACGTGACTGCCACCTTTGTCAAGCAGAGTAGGGTTGACACACAGATGCTGTTGCCGCTCAGGCTGCATGATTGTGGCAAAGGTGTCAGGAGTGGAATCCCCTATTCCTGTGGAATCCCCCTTCCTTGCAAGGCAAGGAAGTGGGGTGACTCAGGCATAGAGAGGACTGGGCTGCAGGGGCAGTGGAAAGACCACTTACTCAAGCTTCCGGAGCCGTGGCAGGTAAGGGAGAACCTCCACGATGTTCAGCACCACCTGATCATTGAGCTGGTTGTCCTGAAAACTGCAAGGAGACCAAGGCCCAGTCCCTCTGCCCTGGGGTTGGGGCACTTGCAAGCCCCAGCTGGCAGGTGACAGAATGGCCAACCTCATGTGGCAGACATAAGGCAGGGGCCAAGAAAGAGCTGGTGGCCTGCTTTCTGGATTCCAGCAGGCACAGCTAGGAAGAAAGACCCTCTGCTGGCCTCACTTCTGTGTTTATTCAGTTCCCATGGGAAAGTTTTTGCCTGCTGGCTCAAGGAATCTAGAAGACAGACTGACAGCCTCTTCATGAGGTACAAGGAGGAGACCCAGCACCCTACTCCCAGCACTTACGTCTGGGGTGTGCCTGAGGCCCCCAGGTGATTAGCAAAGTCTAGACTGGGATGCTGGAGACGTCACTTCCAGTCTCGGCTGTGACCCTGACTCACCCAGAGCCCAAAGCAAAGCACATTCCTCTCTGACCTCACTTTCCCCACCTGCCCACAAGCCAGCCCTGCTTGGGTTCCTAGCTGGGGAACAGATGAGCAGAGGGGAGTAAGGGCTATTAAGAACATCGGTAGGTGACGGGAGACAAAACTAAAGTCCCCCTCAATAGCCAGTAAAGAAAAATGTCAACAAGTTTAATACTTCTGAACCTTTGCCTGATCACTGCTCACAGATACCTAGCTAAGGGGACAAGAGGGACTGTGGTCCAACTTGTTATCTTCACTCGGTAAGTCCTGAACCTTAGTGCCAGGCTGCATCTGTGTGGATGAAGGGGTACCTTCTCTAAATATTATAAAAGTGCCATATAAACTAGCAGTGTCCTGCCAGTGAGGAGGGTCTCTGGTCCCATTCCTTCCCATGGTACTCAGTCCCAGACACAGGGCAGGAGTATATTTGTGCATATGAGCTTAATTAGTTAGAGTGTGTTGGCATCAGAATGTGTACATGCACCTAAGGGTGCATGTGTGTGCTGCATGCAAGTGCACACCTGTGAGTAGCATGTGTAGGGGGCATGTTCTTGCATAGGCCTGTGCACTTCTGTGCAACTGTGCAAGTGTAGACATGTGTGCACAAATGTGAAGGTGTGTGTGCACTTCATGTGGTTATGTGTACCCACAGTGCCTGACCCCTGCCTACACACTGCTATCCTCTCTCCTGGGATTACAGAAAGAGGGAGGGAGCCTTAACACTCACGCTCCTCCAAGATGATCCAATATATTAGATGATGGAAGCCTTGCTTTGGGAACTCTGGGAACCTTGTGTTTGGACTCAGCCCTACGGAGTACTTGGACTGATGCCTTCCCTCTCTGGATCTTATTGAAAAACTACTGGTCAGACTCTGATGGAACATGCAGGCCCCAGGGAGGCCCCAGTGGGGCTCTGGGACCTGGGCAGTGACTTATCTCCCCAGCCAGTGAGCCCTCCTGGAGATCACTCACCTAACTTCTTCCAGCTGTGGACAGAGGGGCAGAGCTTTCACCAGGTGGCTGATGCCTCGGGCAGTGATCTTACTTCCTGCTAACCTACAGAGTAAGCAAAGATGATGGAGAGGAAAGGGGAGGGGGAAAGGATAAAGCCAGGAATTTGCCTTGCGTAGGATTAAGGAGAGGGAGGAGAGTACCAGGCATCCCCAGCTGAAGACCCTTCTCAGCTCCAAGGCCTGCCTCACCCCAGCATCTGCAGCCTCCCCATTGTCGGCAAGCTCCTGGAGAGGGCTTCTGCAAAGGCATCCCCACATTTCCTGCTCTTAAAGCTGTCATGAGAAGAAGCAAAGTGTCAGAGGATCAGTGCTGGGCAGGGCTGAGAAGTCATCGCCACCCCCTTGGACAGATGAGGATTAATACGGTAGTAGTAACAAACACATATTATGGCAGAGACTTCTAATGGTCCACCAGAACCCATTCTCCACTTTATCTACAGCAATAGAGCTATCACAAGAAACATGGTTTCCCAGCCAGAGATCACATTTCTCAGCCTCCCTTGCAGCTCAGTGTGGCCAGGTGACTATGTCCTCACCAATGGAATGTGAGTGGAAGGGATGTGTCCTAGTTCCAGGACTGAATATTAATGAATTGGCATGTTCCTCCATGCTCTTTTCCTGTTCCCAAGACAGAGCACAAATATACCCATGACCCAGCTTTGACTGTGCAGATAGGATGCCCAAGGGGATGATGGAGCAAAATGGGAGGGACCTGGATCCCTGCATGACTGTGTGGAGCTGAGCCATTCCACTGACCTGGACCACTTACCTCCAACTCTTCCATGAGAGAGAGATAAAATTCTACATTATTTAACCTACTATATTTGGGGAGGAGGTTCCTCTGTTACTGCAGCCTAGCCTTTTCTCTAGCTAATATGCACACTGAGCCTTTGCTCTGTGCCAGGCACTGTGCTACAGAGTGCTTTTCATGCATTATCCCATCTCATTCTCGCAATGACCATGTGAGTCAGCTATTGTCACAGATTCATTTTAGGAATGAAGAAACTTTGGCCTAGACAGTGTGCATGTGTGTGCTGTATACACATGCCCAAAGTCCAACAACCTCTGTCAACACAGCCTGGATCTGAGGCTTAAGCCCATGATTGACAGAGAGAGACTGAGAGTCCAGAAACCAGACAAGAGGAGGATCCATTTGGGCTCCAGAGATCCTGTCAAGGCATGGAGCTTCCTCTCCTGCATTGCAGGCCATTCCGTTCTAATATCCAAGGTTTTTATCCAGTACCCTTGGCAGAGGTCTGCTAGATCAGTTGAACTTTGCTATCCCAAAAGCCCAATCCCCTCCCCGGTTCTCCTCTGCTCTTACTCACCTGAGATTCTCTATCTGCCCACAGCCTACCAGAGCCTCAGGGCAGTGGGGCTCCAGGGTGCAGCCCTCAAAATCCAGGTGGATGGGGGCCTCCCTGAGCTTTAGGATGTTGGTCAGGATGGCCAGATCAGTGTAGGTCAGTGGGAAATTGTGGAAGGGCAGTTGATAGGGCAGGCTTTGTGCAGTGAGACTGGCCAGCTCAGGTTCCTGTGTCTCATCCACACAGTGTAACAGCTCTACCACCTTTGGCCCTGTGAGCTTGCGGGTGGCCAACTTCTTCAATGCCTGCACGACAGCGGCCTGCTTGGTGCCCACCCAGTCCTCACCACGCTGTGCCAGGTGGCTAAGGAAGGGACGGCAGGTGCAGGATGCCAGGCCTGCCAGGAAGGTGGGGAGGTGGTCTGAGAGGTCCAGTTTAGCTTTAGGTCCAGTCCGCAGTACCCAGCGGGAATTGAGGGTAACATGCTGGGTGAGTAAGTCTTTGTCCACCTTGGGGCTGGCCATCAGGTACAGGGCAGCTAAAAACTCCTGCAGGCTGAAGTGGGTGAAAGCATAGCCTGTCTGCTGGTGCCCAGGGCCTGTGCAGATGCAGAAGGAGGTCAGCAGACTGTGGGTGGCCCCAAAGGCCATCAGGTGTGGAGGGATGTCTCTTGCATAGAAGGTAACCTTCCCTGTCTCCAGGTTCCTCAGGGCCACCTCCCCCAGGCCCAGCAGGGACGTGGTGGGCAAGTGCCCGCGGGGGCTGAGGGCGAGCACCATCTGCATATAGAGCTGAGTCATGGTGGTCAGCAGGGCTGCAGACTGGCCTGGGGCATGGTCAGGGAGCAGATGGTGGAGGCAGAGGCAGGCAACTTGGCACAGCGCAGGCACCGCACATAGGCTCTGAAGACGTCCATTTGTCTGTAACTCCTCCAGGGCCCCCTCCCGTGATGGCTGGGCGCTGAAGAAGCGATTTACATATTCCTCCACCCGAGGCCCATCAAAGCCCAACATGTGGACCACAGCTGCCTCTGTGGGCAGGCAGGCAGGCAGCTTCCCTGGACGGGAGGTGGCCAACACCCAGCAGCCGGGCAGGAGGGTCCCATGGCAGAGACCAGAGAACAGGGCAAGAACAGGGCCTGGGTCATCAGGATCCTCAGGATCCGTGCTGAAGCAGGGCTGAAGGGCCTCATCTAGCCCATCAAAAATCAGCAGGACTTGGTCAGCATTCTTTTCCAGGTACTGGAAGACAGCATCGGGGTCTGACTCAGGGCTCAGGTACAGATCAAAAAGGAGCTGGGGCAGTGTCAGGAACCTTGTGATCAGATTGAGCTGGCGGAATTCAAAAAGGAACAGGGCCTGGAAACAGTCCAGATGGCCCTCTGCCCACTTCCGGCAGAGGTGGTGGGCCAGCGTGGTCTTGCCCATGCCAGCCTTCCCCAAGAGTATGGTCACCCTCGGGCCCTTGTTAGTCCTGGTGTTGAAGAGGTCTGAGATGCTCACATCAGTGCCATCTTCCACCCTGGGGTTCCCCACAATGCACCCCCCCTGAGTCTCCAAGGGCGCTGTGGCCCGGCGCAGGATTGGAGGGACATAGGCCTGGTGGAAGGCATGGGGCTGCCCTGACCCAGGGATTCGGCTCCCATAGCGCTGCAAGGCAGAGGTCCGCAGGAGCTGCACGTACTTCTTGGCCAACTCTGCAAGGGGCAGGGACATGGCATGAGGACAGGACCCCTTGGCCCTCTGCTCATGGTCCTCTTGGCCCAGTATTGGGCTGTTGGGAGCTTCTAGCCCCAGCTGTGTATGTATGAGGGGGTGAGGGTGAGGGTATCAAGAGCACCATAGGGACTTCTGTGCCACCTAGACGTCCAGAAGGAATCAGTTCTAAAACATAGGCTCTCTGGTAGCTTTTTAAACAGGCAGGTGGGAATGGGGAAGTGTGGGTCATGGTTCTATGCATTCTGCAATAGTACACATGGTGTAAGAGTTCAGTAAGATGGGGGAGGGAAATAGGGCACCTCCTTTGCAATGTATTTTTTTTTCTTGTTTTTCCCAGAGACAGAGTCTCACTCTGTTGCCCAGGCTGGAGTGCAATGGCACGATCTTAGCTCACTGCAGCCTCAAACTCCTGGTCTCAAGTGATCCTTCTGCCCCAGCCTCTTGAGCAGCTGGGACTGCAAGTGCATACCGCCATACCCAGCTAATTTTTGTATTTTTAGTAGAGACAAGGTTTGGTCATGTTGGCCAGGCTGGTAGCGAACTCCTGGGCTCAAGTGATCCACTTGCCTCAGCCTGCTAAAGTGCTGGAATTACAGGTGTGAGCCACCACGCCTGGCCCCTTTGCAACATCTTACTGAAACAATCTCTTCCTGTGATATCTGGGTACCCAGTGCTCCTTCCCAATAGTTCAGTTCTGCAATGCCCAAGGGTGAGTTCTAACAACCTGTGGGCCTAGGCAGTACCAATCAGAACTGTGGGAGCTGTGCCCCTACGGTGCCAGACATTAACCATTTATTATTTATTTATTTATTTATTTTTTCTGAGACAGAGTTTTGCTCTTGTTACCCAGGCTGGAGTGCAATGGCATGATCTCGGCTCACTGCAACCTCCACCTCCTGGGTTCAAGCGACTCTCTTGCCTCAGACTCACAAGCAGCTGGGATTACAGGCATATGCCATCACGCCCAGCTAATTTTGTATTTTTATTAGAGATGGGGTTTCTCCATGTTGCTCAGGCTGGTCTCAAACTCCTGACCGCAGGTGATCCACCCACCTCGGCCTCCCAAACTGCTGGGATTACAAGCGTGAGCCACTGCACCCAGCCAGACACTAACCTTTTAATTCCTGGGTCATTGAGAGGTCTCAGGTGACCCAGGGAAAGGGCTGGGGCTGCTTTTGTGGGAACCCTAGGGGGAGAGGCCAAGGTAGTGGCCCATTCTGAGTGGATGTGAATCCCCTGGTTATAGCCATGGTTGGTGGCAGTGGGGGGGCAGAGAAGGCTCTAGTTAGCAGGACAACTGGTGGAGAACGAGGACCGTTCTGAGAACTGGCCAAGAATGAGAGAAGTCTCCTGTCTTCTCCTCTCACTGGCCTGGCCTGCCCTAAGCAGCTCCATGTCTCCCCATGGGCCCGCAGGGCTCTGCCTTGGGTGCTTCTCCCAGGCCTCCCCACCCCTCCCCAGCCCCACGCATGCCCAAACTGGTCTCCTCCCAGGGCATACTTCAACACTGAGGATATAGGGTGTCCCTGGAAGAGCCTGGATGGTGAAGCTGAGACCTGTATGGTGCTTCTAGCTCCTTCAGCAGAGCCCTCTCTAGGGAAGCCCCATGCAGCCAAATGGATAAGGCCCTTCACGGCCAGCCCAGCCTCTGCCTGTGCAGGACCTCCAGTCCGCCTCTCCTGGAAACTTGTGAGATGAGAGTCACTGGGCCTCCGGAGGCTTGTTGGCTGGGGACAGGGTGCAGGGTCCAAGTCCTGGCCCCCAGGCAACCCCCTCTCTCTGTTCGGCTTCCTCCCCACACTGGTACCCACCTAGCTGCTGCTTCCTGCACTGCTTCCGGCAGGGTGAGGACCCACAGCTCTGATGGGGGCGCTTGAGGCCTGAAAGAGCAAAGGAAGTGGTGGAGGAGCAGGGTCTGGGGATCGGAGCTGAGGGAGTACCCAGAACCTTTGGGGAACTCCAGTCCACAGACAGGTGGCAGGCAGCCAAGTACACCCACATGCAGGTACTGGAAAGGCAGGCAGCAGGCAGAGGCTGCGTCATGTTGACACAGCTTCTATTTGCAGAGGGGACTTCTAGGCTCCCCATTGCAAGGTGAATGTTCTGGGCCTGGCAATCTCACAATCCAGGATGCAGAGAGCAGGGCTGACAGCCAGCAGCCCCCAGAAACACTCAGCCCCAAGTACTAAATGCCTGTCTGTCCATCAGGGAAGGATCAAGCTCCATGGAAGCCACCACTGGTCACAAAAGTCAAGTTTCCAGTGAATTTGGCCAGGCCTGCAACCTCCCTCCTGTATTAGTCTTTCATCATCCCAATTTCTTCTCACTCATACTTCCTCACTTCCCTTACTTAATAGGGAGTCTTGCAAATAGGTCAGGGACAGGTGAGGAGCGTGGCCTATGAGAAATGGCTGAGTCTCGTCTCATTGCGTGGATTTTCAAGCAGCACTTTAATTACCTTTCCGGAAGAGTTTGAAGAAAGAAGAAGGAAAACAAGAAGGAAGGGGACTGACAAAGGAGGGGAGGGAGAAAGGAAAGAGGACTCAGGAAATAATTTTAAGAAGTCAAGTAGGGTTTTCCTACAGCTAAGCACTAGTGACCAGTCAGAATAGCCTGGAGCAGGGCCCTGGGCTCCTCGCCCAGCTAGGAGCTGGGGCCAGTTCAAGAGCACTTCAATATTTTAATAAATTCTATACTAAAAAGGGACTCACTGGCCAAATATCAATCAAATCTGGTCATAGCCATGAGACAATGATGCCCGCTCAGTGAGATGGACCTGTTGGGCCAGGGACTTAGATAGTTTCGATTCACTGGGGAGCTGGTATAAGAGGGTGGGTTTTCCATTAGCATTAGTGCCATGCAGTGATAAGTCAAGTCAGTGCCTCTATAGAAATCAAGGTGCTGAGACTGAAGTGTGACCCGTAAATCAGTAGGTGGTCGTTAATCACTGGGCCTTCTGAGCTCCTTCAGAAAATCAGTCAAAGGCTCTGTGAGTGAAGACAGTAGCTGTGGGTGAGTGTCAAGTCCAAGGCGTACAAATGGAGAGGGGGGGGTTAGAGTTTCCCCAAGAAGCCTGACACTTTGGGTCTGAGAGAGAAATCCATGAGGGTTGGGGGCAGGAGAGTGAGAACAGACTTCCTGAGGGGCTCAGGTTAGACCCTTGAGAATTGGGAATGGGACAAGCTAAAGCCTTGGAAGTCACAGGAGGAAGAGATGGGGCTGGGAGACACAGTTAGGAGCTTGACACCCTTGCAAATGGGTCAAGGACAGGTGAGGAGCATGGCCTATAAGAAATGGCTGTGACCAGCCACCACCAGCCTCCTCCAGCTTGGAGGTGGGGACTTAACAGTGCTCACCACACCCTTCCTGCCCCTGCAACTCCAGTCCTCACCATGATGGAGCTGAGATTCACGTCGGCTTTTCTCTTCAGCTCCCAGCTGGCTAGTGAGCCCTGCAAGAGAGGGGAGAGTATAATGTGCTATGGGGCTGTCACGGGATGCTGGGGACCAGTTCTGGCCTTGTACTTGGCTCAGGCCCATCCCACAGGGTGGGTACCCAGCAAAGGAGAAATAAAATGAACACTCAGTTATCTGTTGTGGAGAAAAGGTGGTGGTGAGCTTTGAAGGCAGTGGTGGGCAGAAATGCGTGTATATGCAAGTGTGTGCACAGGTGTGCATGCCTGTGCATATGGGTTTATGCATATACCCACATGTATATGCACTGTGTGTATCTGAATATGTGAGTTCCCATTTTCTCTCCAAGGACGCTGTTGCCCCTCAATGTCCTGTGTTTCCCCTCAGTGCTGTGCAAACAGAAGAGGCCCAAGAAATGCCCCTAGAACTGAACAGAGTTAACCTGACTACCTATCAGTTGAGGGCAGAAAGCAGTCCCTGTGACTGCTTCTGAAACAACAAACAAACCTCTAGCCAGGTGCAGTGACTCACATCTGTGATCCTGGCACTTTGGGAGGCCAAGAGAGGAGGATCACTTAAGGCCAGGAGTTCAAGACCAGCCTGGGCAACATAGTGATGTCCCATCTCTAGATAAAAATTTAAAATTAGCCTAATGTGGGTGGTGTGCACTCATAGTTCCATTGTAGTCCCAGCTACTTGGAAGGCTGAAGTGGGAGGATTGCCTGAGTCCGGGAGTTGGATGCTGTAGTGAGCTATGACTGTACCACTGCACTCCAGCCTAGGCAACAGAGCTTGTCTCAAAAACAAACACAAACACAAACAAAAATCCAATAAGAACAATAAAAAACAACCAACCGAAAAAAGAAAAGAAAAGCAATCTCTTGGGCATTATGGGCTATGTGGGATTTTGTGGCTGGAAGCCGTCACCGAGTCCTTTCTGTTCTTGCATTCTATCTCCCTGAGCAATTCAAGTGAAGCCAGGTGGAAGGAGGGGTCCTCCAGGCCCCAGCAGATTTGGGGGGGCATTAGGGAATTTTTTCTGGGAAGCTCCCAGAAATGCAGACTTGAGATCCTGGCTTGGCTGTACCCTCTGTGTGAGTCAGGTGGGCCCCTGGCACCCCACCCACGGCTCCCCATGGCCTGGGTGCCGGCCCAGCTGCTTTGCATCTCTCACACCTGCCCTTACCATCATCACAGCCCCAAGTGCTCAGCAGCGGCACCTCCAGCTCCAGGGGCACCTCCAGCTCCATGCACACACAGTGGATGAAAGACTGCCAGGTGGCCACACCTTGGACATGCAGTTTTCTGAGTTGTAGGATGATTCTCTGTTCAGGATCTGAGGGCTCGTTCCTGGAATCCAGGTCTGCGTTGGGGAGGAAGAACTTCATCTTGGAGTTCAGCCATTCTGGGTCTTTGCTGAGCAGGCTCACCAGCCAGCTCCACAGGTTCCTGGTGCCCAGCTGGAGGCCAATGGGGTCCATGAGGAGCCAGCTCTGCAGGGACAGGGCAGTTAGGTGAGCTAAGGGAGACAGGTAAACTTGGGGCAGATGAGCGGGGGACAGAGGAACTAGGGAGGGGTGAGCTGGGGGTCAGGGAAGTTGGGGGACAGGAGAGCTGGGGCACAGGTGAGCTAGGGGACAGGAGAACCAGGAGAAAGATGAGTTGGGGGACAGGGGAACTGGGGGGAAGATGAGCTGGGGAACGGGTAAGCTGGAGGACAAGTGAATTGGGAGCAGGTGATTTGGGGGACAGGGGAGTTGGGAGGAAGATGAGCTGGAGAACAGGTGAGTTGGAGGGACAGGTGACCTGAGGGCAGGTGAGTTGGGGACGGGGGAACTAGGGGGAGGGTGATCTGGTGAAGGTAAGTTGGGGGATAGGGGAGCTTCTGAGGAAGTCAAATAGTCAAGAACCACTGCCTACATCTGAACAGCAGAAAACAGGCAGGGAAGTGGGCTCTCCATGGAGTCTTGATGTCTCTGCCCAGGGATCAGTTCCAGAGATCAGTCTATTTCTTCTGAACCGCCTCCCTCCATTTGTACCTGCATCCTGGCTCTCTGGTATGGTCTAGTTTATACCCTGTGGACAGTCTCCTGAGGATGCTTTACTCATTTTTGTTTTCATGAACCATTTACGCTGCTCTTAGTATGAGCTAACCTCATGGCAGAGACAACTAGTTGTCTCCCCAGATATGTTCTTCCCTTCTTCCTCAGTACTAGAACTACCGAACATTCTCTGGTCATCTAGAATAGATGATTGTCTCCCAGGCTCCCTTGCAGTTATATGTAGCCATATAATTTGGCCAATGGAATGTAAGTGCAAGTGTTCTCTATTCTTCTTTGCTCCTTCCTGTTGGTTGGAATGTTGATGGGATGGCTGGATCTTGGGCAGCCATATTGAATCATGAGGTAGAAGCCATACTGAGGAAGGTAGAGGGCAAAGCTGCCCATTTGCCCTGTGGTCACTGACTTTGGATTTCTATTTCATGGCAGAGAAATACACTTCCATTCTGGTTAAACCACTGTTGTTCAGTGCTTTCTGCTACTCACAGTGAACTCTAATCCTAGTTAATACAGATCATCACCTCTCTCGCTAAGCAAATTCTCCCCTTTTGAACTGGAATTCCTTTTTTTTTTTTAGACAGAGTCTTGCTCTGTCTTGCTGGAGTGCAGTGGTACAATCCTGCAGCCTCCATCTCCTGCATTCAAACGATTCTCCTGCCTCAGCTCCCAAGTAGCTGGGATTACAGGCACATGCCACCATGCCTGGCTAAGTTTTGTAATTTTTAGTAGAGATGCGGTTTCACCATGTTGGCCAGGCTGGGCTCAAACTCCTGACCTCAGGGTGATCTGCCCGCCTTGGCCTCCCAAAGTGCTGGGATTACAGGTGTGAGCCACCGCACTCAGACGAACCGGAGCTCTTAAACAGAAGTAGAAGTACCGATTGAGGACAAAGGGCATATTACACAGCCAAAACCTACATAATGTGCAGTTCCTTTGATTCAGTAATTCCATTTCTAGTACTCTAACCTTGGGGAACAATCGTGAACATACATACAAGATTTAATTCCAAAGGTGTTCACTGCAAGATTATTTATAATCATTAAAAATTGGAAACAACCTAAATGTGCCACCATTGGCGATCGGTCAGGCTAAAGGTGGTCCATCATCTGGTGGAATATGCTATCATATTTCCACATGTGCTCTCCCGTACTATTTACTTCCTCAGAGCAGTACACACTTGGAAAGCACTCACTGTGTATTAGGCACTGTTCTAAGTGCTTTATATGACTTGTTTTATCCTCACAACTCCAGAAAGTCCACCTCTAACTCTGAAAAGAGTAGAAGGTCCATCCAGAAGCCAGCCTTCCCAATTCCCAGAGGATGAGGTCAGTACTGTGCATCCTGGGGTTTAGAGCCCAGCTGCTACCTGGGCATGTAGCAGAGGTTGACTGGGATGTGCCGTCAGGCCCCGCTGGTCATCTCTCCTCAACTGGGCTAAGAGCAGTAGGTTCGTCCTTAGGCAGAGTCTTAGACTTGATGAAACATGCTCACATCCATGATCCTCAGGCAGGGGTCACCATCTCCATTGAACAGATGGCAAGACCATGGCCAAGGACGGGCAAAGGGTGTGTCCATGGTCACACAGCAAGTCCATGACAGAGCCAGCATCAGAGATTTCCTACTTCCAGGCCAGTAAATTTCCAAAGCCTTGGAGGCCTGGATGGTACCAGACAAGGCTAAGTCCCTGGGTTTTGGGTGATCTCGGCAAAAGGATATGGCCATAGCCTAGGGCATAGCTTCTTTTCCAGGCTATGATGTCCAGCATCCATGCTGCCCATCAAGAAATCATCCAGGGCAGCTTGGCGCCAGATGGAAGTAAGCGGTACCTGGATGGTGTAATTTCTGGGGATGTTTCTCATCCTCAAATTTCTTCTCCAGCCAGTCTAACATAGTACCTTTGTTTCCATCATTAGTGTTCTAGCCCCTTAGGGTAAGACACAAATCTCCGTAAGGTTAACCATCCTCAGGAGAAAAAGCACATGGCATCATTATTAGTCATTGAGATTCCCATGGGGAATAATCTTGGAGAGAGAGGACAATAGTTGAAAAATCCATGGCTCAGCTCTGTTACTAATTCCCTGTTGTAGGCATTAGGGCTATTCACAGATACTCTTCCTCTTCTTTCTAGGCCTTTGGTGGGATTACACTTCTCTGCCTCCTTGAAATTGGGCATAGCCATGAAACTTGCTTTGGTCAATGAAATATGCTAAAAAATGACTCATGTCATGCCTGTGTAGACATTTTAAGAACGAAGGTGTGATTCTCAGTACTTTTCCTTTTCTTCTACTACAGGGGCTAGAAATATTGCAAACCACGGCTACCCCGTTAGCCTGAGTCTGAGAGAGAGGATGATGTGGAAGAGCGATCCCAGCCAATTCACATCAGAGAAGAAGCAAGAGCAGGAAATAAAATTTTGTGGCAGGAGTCACTGGGACTTTGGAGGGTATATGTACGGCAGTGTGACCTGGCCGATCCTAGCTGATACACTCCGAGTGTGACCTTGAGCAAGTTTCCTATATAAGCCTCAGTCATACCATCTATAAAATGGGTAGATTAGACACTCTCAAAACTCTTCCTGATTTTCTGCGTCTGATCATCACATTCTCATGCTGAATGATGGTCAAGGGCAGGTTTGTTGTGTTGGGAGCAGCCCAGTAAGATGGATTTGGGTAGGGGCTAGTTTTGACAGTAGAAGAAGAGTGAAGAAGTAGATAGGAGGGGAAAAGAGGAGGTGCGGGGAGAGAAAAATCACCTACTCGGTCTCCTTGTTCATGATAGGTGCATTAGGGTCCCCATGGAGAGGGTCTCATGGGTATCTGGGCTATGTCCTTGAGCTGGATTGGCACGTTGTTTCCATAGTACAGTCCCCTAAAGGGAGAGAAGGCAAGGAGTTTTCCCCACTGCTTCCAGACTCCAAGAGGAATGGTGTAAACCGGGCACCATCCCTTGCCCCTGCCTGCCGGAGACACCTCTGGGAACACTGGACGCAGACACAGTTCCCCCAACTTCATTCACAGACCTCGTTTTTCCCTGACTGCAGTAGCACTTTGTGTCCCTGAGTTTGCGCAGCCTAAGCCTCCCTGATGTCACCTCCTGCCACACCTGGTTCAGAGGATGCTCCCCTTCCTCCTCCGATTCAGACATTCACCTTACAGTGTCCTTTGGCATCACAATGAGCCCTGCAAGTCAGCCAAGTTATTACTGCTCATTTATTCATAGATGAAAATGAAATAATCCTCACTGCAGATGCCAACTTTTCCCCTCAACATAAAACCCCCCAAAAGGTTAGGATTTGCAATCTTCTTCCCATTTCCTTAAATAGTTTCTAAACAATTGAGAGGAAGCATTCTAAGAAGACCCAGAGGCATTCTAGCTGCTCACAGAGAGCATAATAAATAGACGCGCTGGCACAAATTCCACACCACACAACAGAGATCTTCCTACAAACAAGGAAAAGAACAGGTAGCTACGGAGCACACGGAAGAAAGGAAGAGAGGCGAAGGATCAGCATGTGCTCTGTGTCTCTGTGAAATAAGAGAGATGAAACTCGGAGTCCCATGACTTTAGACAAATCCATGCAAATAGGGCACATTCTGACATAACAGAGGTAGTATCTAGTATGGTAGTTAGAAATAAGAAAAGAAAAGAGAGACTTTTTGAAGAGGTCCTGGAGGACTAAGAAGATACGTCTGTATTTTTCTCTCTGTCTCTGTCTCTGTCTCTCTCTCTTTCTTTTTTCTCGAGATGGAGTCTTGCTCTGTTGCCCAGGCTGGAATGCAATGGCATGATCTCAGCTCACTGCAACCTCCACCTCCTAGGTTCAAGCGATTTTCATGCCTCAGCCTCCCAAGTAGCTGGGAATACAGGCATGCACCACCATGCCTAGCTAATTTTTGTATTTTCAGTAGAGACAGGGTTTCACCATGTTGGCCAGGCTGGTCTCGAACACCTGACCTCAAGTGATCTGCCTGCCTCGGCCTCCCTAAGCGCTTCTTTTCTTTTTCTCTCCCTCCATCCGCTTTCTCTCTCTCTCTCTCTTTTTTTTTTTTTAATGGAGTTTTGCTCTTGTTGCCCAGGCTAGAGTGCAATGGGGTGATCTCAGCTCACTGCAACCTCCACCTCCCAGTTCAAGCAATTCTTCTGTCTCAGCCTCCCCAGTAGCTGAGATTATAGGCATGTACCACCACGCCTGGCTAATTTTGTATTTTTAGTAGAGATGGGGTTTCTCCACATTGGTCAGGCTGTTCTCGAACTCCTGATCTCAGGTGATCCACCCACCTCAGCCTGCCAAAGTGCTGGGATTACAGGCATGAGCCACCGCCCCTGGCCTCTTTTCTTTTCTTTCTTTTCCTTTCCTTTCCATTCCTTTCCGTTCCTTTCCTTCCCTTTCCCTTTTCCCCTTTCCCTTTCCCTTTCTCTCTTTCTTTCTTTCTGTTTCTTTCTTCCTTTCTTTTCTTCTTTTTTTTTCAGGGTCTTTCTATGTTGCCCAGACTGGATTCAAACTCCTAGGTTCAAGTGATCCTTCTGCCTTAGCCTCCTGAGTAGCCGGGACTGCAGGTGTGTGTCACCCCAGTCAGCTAAAGGATAGTTTTAAAAAACAACATTATCACATTCTAACAGGAAAAATAAGAGAGGCATTATTAAATTGAGATTAAAAACTTGCCATGGACTGAATGTTTGTGTCCCATCTACCCCACCAATTCACCTGGTGAAGACTAAATCCCCAGGGTGATGGTATTTGGAGGTGGGGTCTTTGGGAAGTGATTAGGTCATGAAGGTAGAGCCCACATGATGGGATTACTGCCTCATGAGAAGAGGCTGAAGGCCAGGCACAGTGGCTCATGCCTGTAATCCCAGCACTGTGGGAGGTGAAGGTGGGCGGATCACTTGAGGTCAGGAGTTTAAAACCAGCCTGGGCAACATGATGAAGCCCCGTCTCTAATAAAAATAAAAAATTAGCTGGGTATGGTGGTGAGCACCTGTAGTCCCAGCTACTCTGGAGGCTGAGGCAGGAGAATCACTTGAACCTCAGAGGCAGAGGTTGCAGTGAGCCAAGATTGTGCCATTGCGCTCCAGCCTGGGCCACAGAGCAATTCTGTCTTTAAAAAAAAAAAAAAAAAAAAAAATGAGAAAAGAAGAGACTGGAGAGCACTTGTTCTTTCTCTTTGCTCTCTGCCCTGTGAGGACACCATGAGAAGGTGCTGTCTGCAAACCAGGAAGCCCGTCCTCTTCAGACACCAGGTCTGCTGGCTTCCTGATCAGGGACTTCCCAGCCTTCAGAAGGATGAGAAATAAGTCCCTGTTGTTTAAGCCACCTAGTCGACAGTATTTTATTTTAACAGCTCACCTAAGACAATGTGCCTTCGACCACAGAAAGTGAAAGAAAATAAAACCTACTCTAAGCTAACATGTAGTTGGAAAACAGTGCCACTTTACGTACAGCAGGATACTTTAACAGAACTTGGTAAAATTGTATTTGCAGTCATTTAGAGAAAGGAGGCAGTATTTGCATGCCTTAAATATTTCATAAAAACAGTTGAAGTTAATTGTAAGTCTAATTTTAAGTTAGAATTAGATGTAAAGAAACAAAGTCAATTCTGTCAAAAGGCTATTTGTTGGGAGGATCAGGCAATAGCAAAAAAGCTTCCAAACATAATAAAATATATAACAAGGTGGCCATCATTCACTCTTCAAGATACTTGGATGAAAAATGGAAAGAACTGGCTAAAGGGATGGAAGAGAGTCCAAATGAGCCTCACACTCATTTAAAACACACTATTTAATCCATGATATTGAGAGAAAAAAAGGCAGGAAAAGAAGTGATGTTAAAATACACGGCAATATGCTATCTCTTTCCTGCCACATGAAGAAGGCCTTTACTTCCTTCCCCTTTGCCTTCCATCACGATTGTGTTTCCCGAGGTCCTCCCTTGCCGTGCAGAACTCATGTTTTCAAGCCTATGGACCTTAACTGTGTCATCAAACTTTTTAAAGAGACTGATAAAGATGGCTTAGAAGAAACACAACTGAAATCTGTCAAGAAACTGGTACCATGTTATCAGAATGAACTTCCCTTAAGAGATTTAATACAGATATTTAAAATTCTGAATCTGTGTGCAGTATAAGCAAAAACCAGCTGCGTTTTGTAGAATGTGCCTATGATATCATAAAATAGTGTGGCTTGCCATTTTTGAAAAAGAACGTAGTGGATGAAATAACTTAGGCTCAAGATACTGCTAATTAAATTGCAGCTCTGGGTGACTTAATGAAAATACCAAGTTCTTAATTGAGGATACAAAATTATGAGTGTATTGTTGGCTTTTATCATGCAAAACCACCAAGGAAGCATATTCCAAGTTACCAGCAAGTGAGTTCATGATATAAGATTCAAATGGCTGAAGTAGGAGGATTGGCAAAACAACGGTCCAGCCAATGACCTTGTTTGAAAATCAACTTGTTGGGAAACTTTGGGTACTTAAAATTCTGCAGCATCTCTCAACTTCTGAAGTTAATTGTACTGCAATGCTATTGGCCGCCAATAGCATTGATCAGCCAATGGCGTCTGTGCTCACCTCAGCGACCCAGATTTCTCTGGACAGCTTTTACTTAGTTCATCAGAAATACTTTGGAACTTATCAGAAAAATCTTCCGAAGAAGAAATTGTTCAACAGCTTAGTAACTTGGAATTAGCTAACTGGCTTTGAAGGAAGTATTTCAAAATCTATTTATGAGAGGTTTTAGTCATTATGACTGCCACCTTAGAAATTACATATTAGTGATCACTACAATTACAGCTCAAAATCCTGGAGTGCCAATGATTAAATGTGGCCTTACCAAGGATTTGATACTGTTTGCAACATTTAATGAAGTTAAAAGTCAAACCTTTTGATAAAAAGACTTAAATTTTCTTTTCTTTCTTTCTTTCTTTTTTTTTTTTTTTGAGACGGAGTTTCGCTCTTGTTACTCAGGCTGGAGTGCAATGGCGCGATCTCGGCTCACCGCAACCTCCACCTCCTGGGTTCAGGCAATTCTCCTGCCTCAGCCTCCTGAGTATCTGGGATTACAGGCACATGCCACCATGCCCAGCTAATTTTTTGTATTTTTAGTAGAGACGGGGTTTCACCATGTTGGCAAGGATGGTCTTGATCTCTTGACCTCGATCCACCCTCCTCGGCCTCCCAAAGTGCTGGGATTACAGGCTTGAGCCACCGCACCCGGCCAGGACTTAAATTTTCTAATTCCTACAAAGATTTTGAGTTGAACGAATTACTATTCAATATATAATTGTGATTTTATGTAAAGATTTACCTACTATTCACGTAAAGAGTAATCAAGGCAGAAAAATTAACAAAAATTGCCTCATTTTTTTGTGTGTGTGCGTATATATATATATATATATGCAATGAGTGTTTTAAATTTAAATAATTATTTTTAACTAAGTAATTAAATTAAAAATTTCTGCATGGAAATTAAAAAAAACACAGCCACATAGCATTTCACACTCACATTGAATGGCTATAAGGAAAAAGACACATGTTAATGAGGATGTAGAGAAACAGGACACCGTATATATTGCTGGTGGGAATGTAAAATGGCCCAGCCACTCTGAAAAGCAGTCTGGCAGTTTTGGCGGTTCCTTAGAACATCAATCCCCAACTGTTTTGGCCCAGGAACCGGTTTTGTGGGAGATAATTTTTCCACAGATGGGATGGGGGATGGGAGATGGGTTCGGGATGATTCAAGCTCATTATCCTTTATCATTAGATCCCTCGAATGCACGTTCCACAACAGGGTTTGTGCTCCTATGAGAATCTGATGGGCCGCTGATCCCATAGGAGGCGGAGCTCAGGTGGTAATGCTCCCCAGCCA